AATTTTCTGTGTTTTAGCTGCATTTTTGTTACTAAAACTTTATTGTCTTTAAACTTGGTTGTGTGAGGAGGTACAGTGTTTCCACCTATGCCTTCATCTTGGCCAGAAGTCTGGCTGAACTTCTTAAGCCTGTAAGTTTAAGTCTTTTGCCAACTTCTGGAAGTTTTTAAGAATTATTTCTTTCAATATTTTATCTGCATCAAATATATCTTCTTTCTTCTTTCCTTCTGAAACCCTGATGACATGAGTGTTGGACCTTTAGGTTTTTCCCACAGGTTCTTGATGCTCTGCTCAATTTTCCTTCCCTTTGTCACTCATATTTGATACTTTCCATCTATCTCTCTTCAAATTCAGTGACTCTCCATTTGCATCTCCATTCTTCTCTTGAGTCTATCTTGTGAAAATTTTGCTTTTGTAGTTGTATTTTTCAATTCTAAAATTCTCATTTGGTCCTTTTTATAGTTTATCTTTCTATTTATTTTAAGAGTCTTTACTTCTCCTTGGATTATAATTATAACAAATGTTTTCCTTCAAACTGTGGTAAAAAAAAAAACCCAGATAACATAAAATTTACCATCTTAACCATTTTAAAGTGTTAGTAGCGTTAATTATGTTTATATTGTTGTGTAACATATCTTTAGAGATTTTTCATCTCTTTTTAAATTGATTTTAGAGAGAGAGAGAGAGGAAGGAGGTGAGAGAAAGAGAGAGAGAGAGAGATTTATTTGTTTAACCTTTTATAAACCCACATCCTTGGCATATGGCATGACTATTTAACCAACTGAGCTACCTGGCTAGGGCAGAAACTCTTCATCTTATGAAACTGAAACTCTATAACTATTGAACAATAACTTCCCATGTCTTCCTCCTTTCAGTCCTTGGCAAATACAATTCTACTTTCTCTCTCTATGATTTTTACTACTATAGATACCTCATATAAGTATAATGAGACAGTATTTTTCTTTTTATGACTGGTTTATTTCACTTAGCATAATGTCCTGAAGGTTCATCCTTGTTACTCTATGTGATGAGATTTCTTACTTTTTAAGGCCGAAATATACTTAAGAAGGAAATGAGCTATCAAGCCATGAAAAGACATTCAGGGACCTGAAATACACATTTCTAACTGAAAGAGGCCACCCTGAAAAGGCAACCTCCTGCAGATTCCAATTGTATGACATTCAGAAAAAGATAAAACTGTGGAGACAAAAAAACAGATCAATGGTTTCAGGGATTCAGAGGGGAAGGATAAATGGACAGAGCACAGAGGACATTCAGGGCAGTTTCAGATTTCATGCTGCCTTTCAGTCTGGGCTGGGAGATAGTGTGTGTGGGGGGATTTGGGAAACTCACTCCTGATTTGGTGATTGGCTTCCACTTTCCTTCCTCAATAATCCTGCCACCATTAACTTCTCAGAATTCCTAACATAGGTGTTTCATACGTTCTACCTAGGTTTTATATTGTACTTAGTGAGAGAGATGGGATGGAATGTGTTTTCTCCATTTTGACAGGTTTTAGAATCTTCTGTTTTTCTTTCCATTACTTGGGTGTTATATATATATTTGGGTATAAGTAGATTGTCAGATATATGTATTGTGACTGTTTTTCTCTCAGTCTGTAGTTTGCCTATTTAATTTCTTAATGGTGTCTTTTGATGAGGAGACATACCTTTTATTTTATTTTATTTTTTTTAAAGATTTTATTTATTTATCTTTAGAGGGGAAGGGACAGAGAGAGGGAGAGAAACATCAATGTACGGTTGCCTTTCATGCATCCCCTGCTGGGTACTGGCCTGCAGGGAACCAGCCTGCAACCCAGGCATGTGCCCTGACTGGGAATCGAACCACGACTGTCTGGTTCGCAGGCCTGCGCTCAATCCACTGAGCTACACCAGCCAGGGCCATACCTTTTATTTTAATGAGGTCTATGTTAAATTTTTTCTTCCAACTAATGCTCTCTGAGTTTTACATATAAAATCTTTGTCTATTCCAGGTCTGCAAAGATATTCTCCAATGTCACTTTTTCCTGTTTTATTGAGATAGAATTAACCTATAACATTGTAGTAGTTGAAGGTGTACAACATAATGATTTGATATATGTACATATTGGGAAATGATTAACAATAAGTTTAGTTAACATTTGTCACCTCACATAGTCACAGATTTTTTTCTTGTAATGAGGACTCTTTTTTAAAAATTTTTTTATTTTTAGATTTTATTTATTTATCTTTAGAGGGGAAGGGAAGGAGAGTGGGAGAGAATATCAAGGTATGGTTGCCTGTTGTGCATCCCCTACTGGGAACTGGCCTGCAACCCAGGCATGTGCCCTGACTGGGAATTTGAACCACAATCCTCTGGTTTGCAGGCCCACGCTCAATCCACTGAGCTACACCAGCCAGGGCGTAATGAGGACTCTTAAGATCTACTCTCTTAGAAACTTTCAAATGCACAATACGCGATGTCTATGTTGTTAACTATAGACATCTTTGTTTTCTTTTACAAGATTTATTATTTTAGCTCTGATCCATTTTGACTTAATTTTACGTATGGTGTAAGGTAGGAATTAAGGTTCATCTTTCCCCCATGCATTTATCTGGTTGTTGCTGTATTACGCATTGGATTCACTCATATACATTAAAAAATAAACTTGAACTTTTCTATATTTTAAGTGTTTTCCCTAATTACTTAATGCTTTACATTAAAATTAATAATACATCACACAACTGGTAGATATATTAATTGTACTTCAACCTAGTTGATTTTCTTTGTCATTCTGTACATTTTATGTCCTTCAAATTGTTATTTTGAGAATGGGCCCATAAACTTTATCATATTGCCAAAGATGTCCAAGGTACAACACATGTGAAAAACCCCTGTTGATGTTTCCACATGTGGAAAAACACTCAGCTTCAGAATCAAAGAGACCTGGTTTTAAATGCTCACTTGCTGCTTTCTAGCTCTGACCTTGGGCACATCATTTAATCTTCATTGATATTCCGTATTTCCACAGATTCAGTAAATGTCTATTAAGAACCCACTGCCAGCCACCGTACTAAACATCTAACACAGACACATAGACATAACCTTTCCTCTACCTGGTTTACAACTGAGTGGGGGAGACAGATGAGTCAATGGGTGGTAAGTGCTTTGATTAAGAAGTGATGGCGTGCTCAGTGGAAGGATCAGGAAAGATTTCCAGATATAAGGACACTAAACTGCTAGGTAGACATTGGCCAAGCAAAGAGGGGTTGGAGTGACCCAGGCAGTGGAATGAACCCTTAATAGATATGGCATGGTTGAGAAACAGAGAAAACCAGGATAGGGAGAAGGAAGAGACAAGGTAGCAGAAGGGGTTAAACTAGAAGTTTTTGTAACCATCTTAAGGACATTAGCTTCATCCTAAGAGAAATGAGAAGCCATTGATGGGTTTTAATCATTGACCTATTGTGACAGCATCAGAATAAAAAATTTTGAAATCATGTTGGTTTTATGGAGAATGCACTGGAACACAGATTTTCAACCATTTTTATTTCATGACACACAAACTAATTGCTAACACTCTTTGGCACATCAAAAAAAAACTTTTTGCTGATTTGACAAAAAAATAGGTATACTTTTGTTCATTCACAGCAAGATGGCTATTGTTGTGCTGGCTATTGTTATGCCTTTTTTAAAAAGATTTTATTTATTTATTTTTAGAGGGGAAGGGAAGGAGAGAGGGAGAGAAATATCAATGTATGGTTGCCTCTGGTGTGTCCCCTGCTGGGAACTGGCCTGCAACCCAGGCATGTGCCCCGACTGGGAATCGAACCGTGCTCAATCCATTAAGCTACACCAGCCAGGGTGAAAAAGATTTTATTTATTTATCTTTAGAGAAAGGATGAGAGAAAGAAAGGGAGAGAAATAGCAATGTGTAGTTGCCTCTCACACTCCCCTACTGGGGACCTGGCCCACAACCCAGGCATGTGCCCTGACTGGGAACAGAACTGGTGAACCCTTGGTTTGCAGGCCAGCGCTCAGTGAATTGAGCTACAATCCACTGAGGTACACCAGCCAGGGTGTCATGCTTTTATTTGACAGTCTAAGGGAAAAGAGGTCAATGCCCCTGACTAAATAGTCAGGTATTGCCATGTTTTAAATATTCTTGCAGCACACCAGTTGAACATCACTTCACTAGAGGGATTGTGATTGGAGACGGTCAAAATGAGTTGAAAATTATTGGACAAATCCAAGTGAGAGAGGGTTGTGGCAATGGGGTGAGAGAAGAATGGTTAGATTTGAGTAGTTAGGAGATGTACTCAATTAAGTGGATGTTGGAGACTCGGGAAAATGAGGAAGATGGAACCTCCTCAGATTTCTGCTTGGACCGACAGAATGAATGATGGTGCTATTCACTGGAAAAAGGGTAGGCCTATGGGAGAACACTGGGTCAGATTTGCATTTTGGGTGTGAGTGACTGAGGATGTCTTGCAGACTTATGGCCATATTGGCCTGAAAACTGGAAAAGAGGTTTGGGGTGGGAAGCCATCTATGTCCATATGGTAAGTTGCCAACGATAGTATTCCTTCTATTTTTCTGAGGTTCTGCTCAACATCTTTTGAGGATATACTATGTGGTAGATGTTGGGGATCCATCAGTGAACATGAAGACTGGGTTTCTGCTCTCAACCAGTTTACCGGCTACCTCTTTAAACTTGTTCTTAATCTGTAAAATGAATAGAATGAGACGAAGTGAGATGAGGTGAGGTAATGGCACGTGGCTCTTCAATTTTTGTCCTTCGCCCTCAGAGACGAAGAAAAGATACTAAGTTACTTTTGCTTTTGTATCCTTTTCCGGCTTGCTCTTCTGCGCAGGCGCCCTGGATCGCTTGACCGGAGGCGGGGCGGGCCCAAACCCTAGAGGTCTTCCCTGGGGGCCAGGACCTTGACAAACGAAGGGAGCGGCTGTCTCGTGACGTCATCAAACTGCGCTTCCGTAGGGCGGGATCTGAGCGCGACTGCGCGGCCGGCGCCCCTGGACTGGCTTGGGAAACGAAAGTGAGGGAGGAGCCGGCGGCTCTGGCAGCAGCAGGGCCAGGCCCGGTGGCGGCGGCGGCATTGGTGGCCTGACCACTCCCCCCTCTCCGCTCCCTGGCAGCCTGCCCTCTCCCCTCAGTGTGAGTGCCGACGCGCGGCCCCGGGGGGAGCGAGCGGGCGGGCGCGCGGGCTCCGCATCCTCTTCTCCACCGCCGCCTCGCCCCCCCAATCCGCGCGCGGTCTTGACCCTCACCGCCTCCTCGCTCTCTCTTCCTCCTCCCTTCCCCCAACCGCGCTCCTCCAGCTCCCCGGAGCCAGAACTGCCGCTGACTTCGTCTCTGCGCACACATTCACACACTCACGTTATCTTCAAATGAGAAAACTGATCTGGGCAGATGGGAGCTCATTTCTCCCCTCTATGGATAGGGGTGGCTGTGCGAAACGGAGGCCCAGGGAGAGAAAACTGGAGAGGGGATTATGAAGCCCTTCCCTGAGGAAGCAACGGTTATAACCATGCCTTCTGCTTAACAGTTCCCTGCCAGAGCACATTTAGGCCTGTGTAGGTCACTTGAGCTGGGCACTAGTTACCCGTAAGGCCTTACCCTCTCGGGCTTCAGTTTTTTCCAGTGGAAAAATGAGAGCGTTGGATTAGATGATTTGGAAGGTTCTAATCTAAGGTGGTTTGGAGAGGAGCGCCAGCATCTCCTGCCTTTAACACAACTATGTCCTCGCCTTTCCTTGCACCCACCCCAACACCCCAACACTGTCTACATTGAGTTTCCCCGCTTCCAGCCTCCCCCAGACTTGCTAAGAACCACAGGGACCTTTTTGCTTTTGTTAGGAACCTTTGTTAGGGGGGCATTTAAGATGGGTTTAAAGTGAAATGTGGCTCAGCTTGGTCTTGCTTTCCGTTTGTTAAGTGTCTTCCGTTTTTCCTGCGGCTTCAGGATAGCCCCTGCCTGTGCCTCATTCGAAGCTGCCTCCTTAGGAAGGATGAGATTGAGCATTGGGTTGACTGTCTCATCTTTGAGCTGGAGGGAAGTGAAACATGTGATTCGGAGTTTTGTGAGGTTTAGGGGGTCAGTGGTATATTTGGATTTTATTGCTCTTTTGATGCTCTTACTCATATTATATAACGTAAGCATGTTCTTTTGCCCCTGCACCAACTCCCTCCCCAAGGATTGCAGCCCTGCTGGTCACCCACCTGTTTGCTCTGTGTTGAGCCTTACAGCCAGTCAGTTGTGTATGAACTACACGGTATTCGCTACTACTCTTGCTTGCTCTTTAACTTGATAATCTCTTAAAATTTCCAGGTCTTCATAATCTCTTTGTTCCGTCCCATGTTTTTTTTCTTATGCACACCTCTCATGTACCCGTGGGAATGGATGGTGGTGGCATGGTACCTGCCTGTTTTTATTTATTTTTATTTATTTGGTGGAGGTGGTTTCCTGTTCTTATAATAATTGCTTTTGTACTTGAGTCCTGTGCTATGGCCACCTCCAGTTCTGATAACATTCCCACTTTTATTTTCTCATTCTTAAGTCAACCACTGCTTCCATTCCTTACTCTGGTGAAAAACTTTCCCACTGTTTTCAAACATCCTGAAGTAAACCAAAAGCCAGTATTTGTATCATATTATGTAATATCTTAACTAACTTGGTAAAATAAAACAGTGATGGAATAATCATTCTGGGTTGGTCCCTTTCACCTTGGAAACATTGGTTGATATTCATTAGGTTTCATAATAAACTTCCACTGTACATGGTTGTTACTTGTGGGCAATGTTGCCTTAAAAGTATAGAATGACAAATTTCCAAGTCTTTTTCCTCCCTGTGGTGTGTGGAGCTGGTCCATGACTTTTTGGTATCTGACCTCAGTGGCCCAGAGGCCTTTGAGTCTGTGAGTACCACATTTGCCAGTGAAACCAATAGCTATTTTTGAAAACCAGAGCTTGGCTAGCAGTCCTTACTGGACTTCTTTGAGGAACAGGCTATTCAAGTGCTGGCACTGAAAGTTTTTGGAGTTGCCAAATCCTGTCCCATTTATACCTTAGAATTCCTGCTCTGAGCCTAGTGACTCTGACATGAGCAGCCAATTGTCTGGATTTATGGTTGCAGTAACAATGAAGAGGAGAAATGACCCGGAATGCACTGCTCCTATCAAGAAACAGAAGAAAAGAGTTGCAGAGCTTGCCCTGAACCTCAGCTCTACATCTGATGATGAACCTCCCTCCTCTGTCAATCATGCAGCAAAAGGTATGCTTGCCTGTGTGGTGTGAGGCCACTGGTCACCTGGTTTGAATCCCTGGAGTTCGAATTGGGCAGCATACAGTCCACTGCTCCTTGAGGAAAATTAGGCAAATTCTGTAGAGATATGTTGGCTGTAGACTCTCTTCCCTTTCTTACCATTCTCCTAATAGGGTGGGGGACTTGTCTTAAATAAAAATTGGAATTTTTGCAGAAATGCGTTAGTTTTGTTGCTGGTCCTTCAGTAGGTGGCACTCTTTTGCTGCCATAAACCAAGTTGAAGTACAGGCATACTTTCAACAGGATACTGCAAGCTCGGTTCCAGACCACCACAATAACTTATTATTTGTGTAATAAATTATTATACAATGAATTGTAATAATTTTGCTGGTGGAGGGTCTTGCCTTCAATTTGTACAAACCACAGCATCTGTGAAGTGCAGTAAAATGAGGTATGTCTGTAGTGGTGAGCATCGAGTGTCCTGTGCTCTTAATAGTTGTTAATGATCTTGAGGCTCTCTGCTGCAGTGATCTGGCCTAATCCCCCTTAGGTTTTTGCATTATTTTTTCAATTCCCTCAGCAGGAATTGGAACATCCCTGTATTCAGTGTTTACATTAAGCTCAAAGGATTTTGCTGATCTTATTGAAAGTGGCATTTTGCTTTGCCTCTTTTTTAGGATTATGAACATTGACAGCTTCCACAGACACTCTCACTGAGAAATTGTAAAGTGTCTAGGAGCTTACCCCAAGTACCAAGCAATTAATAGTAGTCCCATTTGCATTTACCTTGACTTACTAGTTGTATTAATTTCCTATGACTGCTATAACAAATTGCAGACTAGGTGACTTAAAACAACAGCAGTGTATTCTTCACAATCCTGGAGACCAGAAATCTGAAATCAAGGTGTCAGCAGGGCCAAACTTCCTCTTAAGGCTCTTGGGAAGAATGCATTTTTTACTCCTCTAGCTTCTGGTGGTTGGCAGCAGCGCTTGCTCTTCCTTGGTGTATAGCAGCATAATTACGGTGTCTGCCTCTGTGTGTGTCTGTGTTCAAATTTCCCTCTTCATTTAAGAACATCAGTCATTGGATTAGGGCCCACCCTAATACAGTATTGCCTCATTTAATTTGATTTCATCTGCAAAGATCCTATTTCACATTCCCAGGTGTGAGGTGACATGACCTTTTAGGAGATACTATTTAACCAGCTGTCATGCATTTTGGATCATCTGCCGTATCACTGGTAAATTGGAATGAATTTGGTAACAGATTGGTAACTGTAAGGGTGTGAAGCATCCTTTGAGGGTGTGAGAAAATACAGCTTATTCCTGAGTGTGGCTAGTTGAAGGGCAGTTACTCTTTAGCTGTACTGAGAAGCTGGTCCAGAGAGGAGAAGCTTGACAGGTGTTACAGCTAGTGAAGTATTTGATGTGGCTGTGGTCCTGGCTGGATAAGAGACTCTTATAAACTTGCTTTGTGGGGATATGTGTGCCTTGAAAGTAGTCACGGGTGAATTTCAGGGTAGATGAGGAGAGCTGTATGTAACCGAGGTTACTAAATGGGAAGGAAGGTAAAGAACATACTGGGTGCACTTGTTCTAGGGACTATTGAGGAAAGGGAATTGTGGTTCTCACTCAGGATCTGAGAAGCTTGGTGAAGATAGACGGTCTCCTTGGGTAGGGCTCTGGGGTTTTAGGAGAGAGAGACCCAGAAGGGAACAAGGGAGAGTGTGTGTGGGGGAATCAGTGACACTTAGCTGGTGGCAGTATCTAGTTCCAAGCAGATCTTGGGGAACATTTGCTCTCAAGGAACAGCTCTTTGAAATAAGGAGAGGACCACTTCCACGTAGAGGAAGGTAAGTGTATGTGGTTGAGGATCTTTCAAGTGAACCGGTCTGATTTAAATTTCAAGCTTTCAAAACTGTGACTTTGAATTGAGATTATCTCCCTCCCCCCCATAAACTCCCTTTGATTGTACCAAATAGCTTTAACCTTTTCTGTAAGTAGCACCATGTGACTCAGGATTGACTCTTGCTGTCGTGTGAACAGAATGGGAATCTGGAGGGGGCCGGTACCTTGTATGCTTCTGGCAGTAGGCCCTTTGTCCCTTTCATTTGCAGAAAATGAAGCAGGAGGCAGAGGCAAGCAAACATTGCTAGATTTCCCCGGGTCAACTTACTTTAGTAAGGGGCAGTGCCACTCTGACACACAAACTCTGAGGGCTAGAGTCTAGTGTCTTCATCAGCAAGATTGGGCCCTGTGGCTCCCCTGCCCCTCTACACTAGACCCAGCACGGTGGAGTAAATGTTAAGTAAATATTTACCTAATAAAATTAATAGAAGGCAACAGTAGTATCTTTTCCAAGAAGCTTAAAATGCTTCTCCACTTTCATTTGCCTATCCCCTCTTCAAGTCTACAGAAGGTCATTTCATTAAGTATTTATAATCATTTATGTCATTTCTGTACCGTATTGGTTCCTCTAAGGCATCCCCTGGACAGTGTGCCGTCTCACCAGACATCGTTGTGTGTACCCACTCAAGTCACAGCTTTGAAGCACATGCGTTCCAGCCCCACCTCTCCCTGGACATACTGTTTAAAAGGGTGATTGGAAAATGCTCTTTGGGGAGGACAATTAGAAAAACAAAAAAAGTGGTTATTATTTCCGCCTGTTGGCCTTGTTTGTGCTTCTGCCAGATCAATGTGATGACTCATTAATAGATTTATTTAGTTTAATCAATTTGTTTATTTTACATTATTGACAAGGTAGCTGTATTGCCAGTTTAGAAACTGACATCTGACCAAAGTAAAGAAGAAAAAGGGATTTTGTTTTTATGGCCACTGTAGCATCATGTGATTTTTAAAAAGATTATTTTAAGAGGAGTTTGAAAGCATTTTCAAGCCCAAATAAACCCTTGGAAATTTGCTAGTAAATAACAACCTTTTGAAGTTAAGGAGAGACAGATAGAGGCCATTTTCATCTAGTTCTTTTGGTTCTTTCTCACAGGGAGACTATAGTATAGACCCCAAGACAATTTCCTTTTCTCCTTAGCTGTGGGTCTAGTCGGGGCTTCATTCAGGCTTTCCCACAGTGTGTTGATTTGGAGGTTGCCAGGGTCCTTCACTGGCACCACACTAAAGGTGCCTTCCCCCTACCAGGTTTAATTCTTCCCTAAGTAGGTTTTTTTCCCTGAAACACCATTGCTTTCCTGTCAGTTCAGATTCATGACCTTAGTCAAAAACTTCCTTTATCGGTATCTGTTTAAATTGTTCTAACGAGTCACCATTTATCTGCCATGACAGAGAAATTGAGTCTTTAAACAAGAGTGAGTGCATTCCACAGCAATTGTTAGGCATGATAGGATGTTTATTAAAGTCCATAGTTTATTCTTCTGCATCTTTGTGCTGCTCACCTGGGCCACTGGTGGTCGGATCGGCCTCTCCCTGTGTGTTGTCACTGTCGTTTCTAATCTCAGCGTGTTTGCCCTGCTGTTCTGCAATGTGGAAAAAATTGCCAGCAGCTGGGAAACCTCTGATTCTTCTATAGAGCTAACCTCCCTTCTGTAAAATGGCTCGAGAGTAAGTACCTGGGCCTCTTTCAGGTGGAGAGGAAATCTTCAATGAAAACTCTAAATAATGTTTTGGGTTCTCTGGTAGGTTTTAGAAGGGGAGTTCCTAGGGAGGTAAATGGGAATGCCACCCAGCCTTGGCAAGTTCTTAATGAAACTAATGATTTTAATAGACTGACCTTATTACTCCCCTTAATTTATATCCTCATTACAAGAGTGTCTGTTCAGTGTTTGCTACATTTTTATCAGCCTTGGGAGGCCAGACCTCCTCCTCAGTTTCTGCTACAGCCACAACAGTTGTCTCCTTTTTATCTGAAAAGAGTGGCCCCAAAGGTCCAGGGATAAAAATGAGGAGTGACTGTGGTAGTCTGGGAAACTTTGTCTTAAATCATGTCATGCTAAGAATTGGCTTCAGAACACTACATAAAAGAGAAATAAGGATTATCTGTTTATCCATCACACTTCATCTCACAAAGAAATGTCTAGTAGGGTGGTATTATAGCTCCCATCAGCCTCACTCCCAGGACATGGACAGGTCAACTGTACATTAGGCGACTGACACCTGGGCAAGAGGAATGGAGGGGAAAGATCTTTGTACCAGAGTGTGTGGTGTTGGAATTTTGTACCAGTATTGTCACTGGTTTGCCTAATGAACCTTCCACCCAGATGTGGTTCTGTCACTTTGGTCTAAAAATGTTATGAAGACAAAACAAATGATCTTTCTCCCTGAGGTTTGAGGGTGGCAGAAACCCTGCATGCTCAGGAATGATACTAATACCTTTGACGGATGCCCGTTAATGGGTCTGCAAGCAAATCTAACATCCTGGCAACTCGCAAGAGCTGGACCAAGTGCACATTTCTCCCTTGAGGACACCAGGTTTTCCTAATCTTTTCATAGATAGACCTATGAGTCCCCAGATAGCTGGTGACAGGAGTAATAATTGATTTAACATTGTAGGTTCTGGTTAGTCAGGGCCTGGATCCCTGGGATACCCTGCAGGAAACTGCCCACATTCCTGGCACCACCTCTCCCAGGATTAAGCAGTACCGGTTGGAGGCGTGGAAGCAACTGAGTGAAGAGAATCTGCACCTTTGGAAGGGGGTCTTCGGCATGTGGGCACTCTCCCAGAGCCCATCTCACTCCTCCTCGTGGGAGATAAGCCCAGGCTTAGTCTTCATCCATTCAGGAGGTCTTTTCCCTCAGAACCATTGTTCTCTGAAGATTTCTCTGGAAAGGAACCAAACTCTTCCCAAGGCTTGGAATGGTACTTTTGCAATAGCATTGTATTTTTTACCCTAATTTTTAAACTAATATATTCTTACTTCTCCCATAGAAAAGCAGAAAAGCGTGAAACAAAATAAATATCACTTCACTTCTCAGTTTCCATGGTTACTCATTGTTAATTTTCTGGGTCTTTCCTTCTGAGTGGCACTCTGGCACTCTGATGTGTGCTGCCTTGGTCTGGGTAAACAAGTCGGCTCCTTACCAAGGAAACTGGATAGCCACCTTAAGGGGGACTGGCAGATTTGGTGCCTCTTGTGCACAGATATTCTCAACCAGAATTCCTCCTTGTTAACTGCTTAGGAGCCAGGATTTTGGTTTTTACATTTATTCTGATTTTTCGTACATATTCACACCTCCCTTTTCTTTTGCAAAATGTTGTATCTTTTAACAATGTCTGTCTTAGCAATTCTATTTTTAAGCTCTTTTAGGGTAGGATTGTTACTTTTGAATGGTGCCTCATTATATATAGCATAGACCTTTTATAGAACAGATCTATTAAACAATAATAATGCTACTAAATAATAGTAATAGATAATAAATAATAATAATAATAGATAATAAGTCAATAATAAATAATATAGTCTAAGTAGGACCCAGTTCTCTTTCAGGATATAGGTATTCCATCCTCGTGCTCAAATTTTTGGTTGGTGTTTTACCTTTAAAAATCTTTTTCAACACTTCATTTCTTTTTAGAGCAGTTGAAGGTTCACAGCAAAATTGAGAGGAAAGTACGAAGTTGTCTCCTATACCCCTTGCTCCTACCCGTGCATGTCCTCCCCCATTATCAACGTACTTCACCAGAATGGAGCGTTTGTTACAATTGATGCATCTGCATTGACACGTCACTCTCATCCAGAGCACATAGGTTACATTAGGGTTCCTTCCCTTTTGGTGTTGTGCGCTCCGGGTTTGAACAAATGTAATCACATGTGTCCTTATACTTCTGAGGGCCGAATGTCTTGTGCTATTTGTATGAGGTGTTATACTAGGAAATATCTTAACTAGCTGTACATTTAGTAGGTGCTTATTAGCAAAGGTGGCAGCTGGATAAGAGACCCCTATATTCACTACCAGTGGGCATGTAATTTCTGTTAAGTAGGAAGCTTCAGTCCAGCTGTGGGAGATGGAAGGTTGTCTGGGCTTCAGTACTGGCTCTCGGTGCTGTGCGGATGGGGCGAATACTGATGTCGTGCTGGAGCCCAGTGGAAGGGTGCTGGGGAAGGCTCGGCTCCTTCCAGTGTCAGCCCTTTGCCAGTTTGTGTTCTTGTAGGGAAGCAGATGGATCAGCACACCGGAGTTAGGATGCCGTGCTCATGGGTATGGTCTTGCTCTTCTGCTCACTGACAGTGTGTCTGGGTGATCTGCTGCTTCCAGTACACAGAAAGAGGCGCCTGAATTTGCTTGGGTCTTGGGCCTTAGTGCCACCCTAATTTTTTTCGCCATGCCCCGAGGCCCAAAGAAATACCTGACAGTTCAGTTTATTAAGTGCTTAGGTCTAAATAATAAACATTCATATCCTTAAAACTAATAGATGTTTGAAGAACAATACACATAAATTGAAAAAAATTATTCTTAAATAAGCACAATAACTTACTAATGACATAGTACACATATCTCATTGGGATCAGGTTGGACACCACCACCCTCATTTCCTGTTCTGCATTTCTCCTTGCTTGCAAATTATACTATTTTCCATGGGAATGTGCATAAATTTAAGCAAATGTTTTTGAGCTGTACTCTATTTACAAATTGGGGTGGGTTTGTCTGGGAAATTATCTGAGTAAAATTAATTTGGGTTGAAATAGCTTTCAAGTTAATAGATTCATATATCTATAAGAGGGAAAGAGCCAGTCATAATAAATGTCCAGAGTGGATCATCCCGCTTTTGGCCAGGAGACACATTAACTCACCCCTTTTGGCAGCTGCTAAGGTAGGTCTTAATTGGGATCCTTTGGCAACAAGGTTGTTGGCAATGAAGTTAATGGCAGAGCTCACTCAGGCCACCAGCTCCCTCCAGCAGCATCTCTGCTCTCCGCCTCAGTTGGTGCTGCTGCCTGAGCATCTCCCTCCTCCCTGTCCTTCATCTCTTTCCTCCTCTTTTTCCTGCCTTCTTCGTTCCCCTCCCCCTTCTCTTCTTTTTCTCTGCCCCCCCCCACCCCCATGAGTCAGCTTCTCCCTCAAGCTGTGCTGCAGACCCGCCCTCACCTCTGCATTTGGAGGACCATGAAAACAGGAAACTGGGACATTAAACAGAAACTGTTAGTCTGACAATTGTATCTTCAATAAAGACATTTTATATTTAGCAGCATCCTTTAAATATGTTACTTCATTTCGTTTTCAAACAATCCTGTGAGGAAGGTATTACCATCGAAGTTTGTAGGGGAAGAAATTGAAAGGATGAGAATGGAAATTGATATTTTTGAGTCCCAATTGTATGTCAGGTACCACTAGAAATGTTTAGTGACTTGACGAAGATTACACGGTAAGAGGGAGAGAATACATTTGACCCTGGGTCATTTAATGAAATTTATGTGAGCAGTGCATATGCTGAACACTAGTTGAGTAAATGAAATTGGGCTTCTAGAGGCTATCTTGTGCAACAAAACACCTAAATATTTTCTTTTTTTTCTTTTTTAGTATCTACCACAAGCCTCAGTGGGTCTGACAGTGACACCGAGGGGAAGCAGCGTGGCTCTGACTCTTTTAATGATGCATTCAAAGCAGACTCTCTCGTGGAGGGAACTTCTTCTCGCTATTCCATGTACAACAGCGTCTCCCGGAAGCTTATGGTATGTCCGTGCTTGGGTTGGGTTTCTAGAGCTCCACCAGCAGAGGGAGAAAATAAGAAATGCTACCGCATGATTTTTTCATTTGCTTTTCAGCTACTGAAATTTAGCAGTGTGCAGCCCGTCTCTCAATAGAGTTATCAATCACATTGAAGTCATCTGTGGGCAGTGGCTGTTTAGGCCTGCTTTTCCTGCCTCATTCAGAGCTGTATCACCCTTTGGTCTTCTGATTAATGAATTCTTGTTATGAGTATGTGTGAACATACTTCTTTACACACGGATGTGTGTCGACAGGTAAAGAGGCTTCATGTGGTGAATTTTTGTTCTAGTGAATTATCTCAAAAGATATGAATAAAATCCTGCTCACTCCCAGGTGCCTAAAGTAGAAGGGAGTAGTACAGTCTTCTGTATTGCTTCCAAAAGAAGGCCCAGTTCTCCTTCCCAGCTTCTGTACACCACTGACGTACCACAGAAGGAAGATGACTAGGGAGAGCTGCCTAGTTTCCTCATCAAGCTTGGGTATATATGCAAAGGTTGGAGAAATCCAAGTTTGCTTTCCATCTAGCTTCAGAAATATCACACTCTTCCATTTTCTGTTGGATCCATTTAAGAATGAGAACTGCCAGTTCTGAAGTCATAGTTGGGATTGTAGTTGGGGTGCTGTAAACTTTGGGGAAGTGGAAGATAGGCAGAGTGGTGACAGCCTCTGAGCTGGGGAAGATTTGTTGCTACTATAGGAATTCCATCTGGCTCTTGAGCTGCTAGTGCCCCTTCCAGAGGGGATGCAGAGACCCTCTAGAGGAAGTCAGATCTTAGGATTGGAGTTCTTTTATTAGACAAAGACCTTAGGGTTTGGGATTCAGGTCTCTGATTTTGAGGGTATGAAAGTGAGCCCAGTGATTCTAGAGTTCAGTGTGAGCTTATAGACAATTGTGACGTTTTAAAAAATGGTTCCATCCATGATCTTACAGTACCTTCCATACCTCAGTTTGTGATTTTTCAGTTAATCTCTCAATTTGGGCTCCTGTAGGCCCTCATTGGCTTTGCCTGGCTGAGGTATGGCAAAAGTAGTCACTTGAAGTGGTTCCATTTTAAATTAAGTTCTCTTTATCAACCCTACTTGGAGATCTACTTGCCACTCACTTACACACATTAGCTGGAAGGGTAGCTGTGCAAATATCCAATGATATTCATCAGGTGCCCTTGTACTTTTAATTGCGGCTGTGAGGTCCCTTCTCATCTATTTAACTTCTGGCTGCCATAGACTTTCACTTCAGGACAGACAGCCCCTGGGCTCACAGTTAAACTGCAGTTACTTATTTATGCTTCTTTCTTTATTAGGCTAGAGGAAAACTTGTAGGGCTTTTCTGATTTTCTTAGGGTTTAGCACAATGTCTGGTACATGATAGGGGCTAAATAAATGTTTGTTTATTTATATAAACGCTCCATTACTTCTCTCTTTCAGGCCAAGATGGGCTTCAAGGAAGGTGAAGGATTAGGTAAACACAACCAGGGTCGGAAGGACATCGTTGAAGCCTCTAATCAGAAAGGTCGAAGAGGCTTGGGTCTGACTTTGCAAGGCTTTGACCAGGAGTTGAATGTGGACTGGCGAGATGAGCCGGAGGTAACTGGTGTGGGGAGAAAGGGGCAGGAAAGCCTCTTGTGTTTTGGGGTGCATGTCTTTAAGTACTTATATTAACAGACTAGAAGTCTCCAGAGGCAGTATGATCAGAGTGGTTAGTGGGGTTGAACTAGTTTCTTATGTGGAAGGTTCTGGGGATGTCCAGAATAGAAAACAAGCCTCAGGCGGGGGAATGTTAGGATGTGGATTTGTTTCCTGCTGTTTCACATAGGACTAAGACCAGTGGGTAGGAGACGCTGGAAGGTAGAGTTTGCCTCCACACTCAGCTTTCTACTATTGACTAAGAAACCTCACAAGGTAGTGAGTTCCCTACTGCTGAAAGGATTCAAGTGGCTGAACAAGGACCCCACTCTTCTGTTGTGTGAGTGGATTAGGTGCCCTCTAAGGTCCTCTCACCTCCACGGGCTTACGACATCCTGGTTCTAAACAGGTGTTTGTTTATGCCTTATGGCTTTTTCACTGTAGGTTTAGTCTGCTTACCTACTTGGATACCAATTTGTTTTAACCTTGAATATCAAAAGAGACTCTTACTCCTTTTCATGGCACAGATAATATTGAGATTTTATTTTTATTCATTTATTTATGCCTTAATCTTATTCCACAAAGGATTTGAAGTAGGTATAATGAAAACCCCTAAAAATAATGATGAAATATTATTATTATGGAGTTGAAATTAAAGAAAATAGAAAACAAATGCCTAGTCTTCTATACAGTTGCTGTAATTTAGCTTTAGATGTGGCTCTGAACACTGGAAAATTGCATTGATATTTCCAGTTCAGGAAAAACTTCCATGAACCTGTGCATGGTAAAAGCCCAACGTGGCTTCAGAGTAAGAAGCCCACAAGCCCAGAGCTCATGGGTTTGGGGTGGTGGGGGTGGTCCTACTGTTTTGCCTTGTAGTTGTGAGGTGACGAGACCAGAAGAACAGCAGATGGCAGTGCAGAGTAAGGTGAATATTCATAATGGGGTGCTAGGTGTAGGTTTCTTCTTCAGAAATATTTGATGCTTTCTGTGTCCTCATTTGTGTGAAAACAAGTAAAGAGCCCTGATCTTCTCTGTGGGGCAGAATTAGAACTAATTTTGCTAAACTTGAAATGCAAAATTTGCTCATAAAAATCTCTGCTTTTAATGGAGGCAGGCTATTGAAATTCCTTTTTGAACCAAGGCCCTCCTAATTACCACCTGCCATGTTTTTCAGGTTTTTCTCTTACAGAAGACACTGTGTCTTTTGGTTAAGAGTTTGGCTTAACTGTTAGGTGGTGGCTACTTCTTGAAGGGTCTGAATGGCCTGAGGCTGACTGTCCTGTTCCTAGAGACACCACAGGGAAAGCATGCAGTGGCTTCTGTAGCTCAGGAGTGGGGAGTGTAAGGCTGGATGCTTTGGTCCACTTCGCAGGTAGCCTTATAATTAGGCTTGAGTCTGCTTTTTTTCTCCAAAGGGATATGTATCCAAAGCGTATATGAACTTTTAAAAAAAGGGTTTATAAATCAGGACCATTAATCAGGGTTTAATAATCAGGGTTTATTAATGAGGACCATATGCTTAAAGGTGATGAATTTGACCCAAGGAGAGAAGCCATGATTCACTGCCAGGTTCATTGACAAAAGGCTTCAGTAATTTTTCTTTTAAACTTTTTCTCTGTTGATGGTGGCTGCCCTAGAGACCTTGTATTGCGATACCATTTTATGCCTTTCAGAGCATGTAATATTGTCTTTAACCGCACTGCTTCAATTTGCAGTGGTGAATCTCCTCTCCACACTCGCTCGGGGGGAGTGCGTAAAGCCGCCATACAGGTTAGCCACCTACTTAGGTTTCATGGTCCATGTCTCTCTAGCCCAGTGAACTTAGCCCTGGCTGCACATGAGACTCATCTGGGGACTTCTGAAAACGTATTTATACCCAGTCCCCACCTCAGACCAACAGATACTCTGAGGGTAGGGTCCAGGCATCAGCACTTTTTAAAAGGACTGCAGATGATCCTAATGTATAGCCAGGTTGAAAACCACTGATTTAGCTTGATAAGGAAAGTAATTGAAAAATTAAGAGGCGACAGTGTGTTAGAGATCAGTGTCTACCCTATCTCAGAATGAAGAGATGAGGAACCCTCTTCGTGTAACACATGCAGTCCTCTTGTGTGTTAACACTTCGAGAGGCTTCAGTGGGTGAGACTCACTGCTTTGTGTCTTCCTGACGTGATTGCCTCGTCACAGACACACATTCTGTGTGTGCCTCTCTGTATCCCCACTGCCTCTTGCATCTTCTTAACTGTGCTTTCTGAGCACATAGTCCAGAGCAGGTATTCATCACAAATATTAGAACAAATGAAATACACATTGAAGGTTTGAGAAGTTTCTAGGGATCCAACCAGAATTGGACCTGGCCTTCAGAAGTTAAACTTTAGAATTCTAGCTCACCATTCTCACGTCTGAGCATGGACTGGACTGCCTTTGGCCTCAGCTCCCCAGACCCTTCCCCCTCTTGGTTGTTTTGGGGCAGTCCTGATGCATTAGGGCATAGCCCCAAGGGTCTATCTTACCTGATGTAGCTTGCCTGTCTTTTGTTTTCAGCCCAGCGCCTGTGAGCAGGTGTCATGGTTCCCAGAATGCACCACTGAGATTCCTGACACGCAGGAAATGAGTGATTGGATGGTTGTGGGAAAGGTAGGCTTTCGGGAAGATGTGCTCTGAAATTGTTGGTGCTTATCTCCTGACCTTCTTCTCTTCAAGTTGGTGTGTGTGTATTCATGCTCACATGTGAAAATCTTGAGTCTGACCATTCTGGCCGGGATAAAACTGTCAAGAGGGCACCTCAAGGACTTTACAGACATACCCCTGGGAGATGCGGCAAACGGTTTTTTCCCTCCTACTCATTTAACTTGCAAGACAACACAAAATGCATAACTTTTATCTTCCTCACAGATGTTTTTTAGAGAAGCTTATTATACATCTGTGTATATTCTGGTCACTACTGGGCTCTGTACCAGGTGGATGAAAAGACACTGTACCTGTCCTTAGAAAGTAATGAGGGTGTTAGAGAGGGAATTTGTTTAATATCCTTCTGGAAAATAGAATGAAGTAGATAGCTACTAAATGAATATGGTCTGGAGAGCAGTTCTCAAAGCGTAGGGGCCCCTAGGGATCTCCAAGACACTTCCAGGGGGGATCTGCAAGGTCAAAGTTATTTTCATAATGATACTGAAATGTTTTTTCACTTTCATTCTCTCCTAAAGTTTCCAGTAGAGTTTTCCAGAGGTTGTGACATGATATTACAACCAATTGAATGCAAACACGAATAGGAGAATCTGGGTGTTTTCTATTCAGCTAGATACTAAGAGATTTACAAAACTGGAAAATGGTGCTGTTCCCCTCACCAAGTTAATTTTGGAAACATAGTTATTTTTCATAAAACATAAAAATATGTTATGTTAACATAATACTGTTCTTTTAAACTGAATAAATATTTTAACATTTTATGTTTTAATTTCTAATAAATCTTGAGTATATAGGTACACTAAATAAAAAATAAATAAGCAAACAAATAAATAAAGGCAAGGTCCTCCGTGATTTTGAAGAGTGAAACTGAGAACGCCAAGGTTGAGCACTGTTGCTTTAGAAGTAGCTGCACTCAGACATGAGGTTGGACTGTACTCCTGTGAGGCTGTCTGAGCCCTTGTTTACTGTGATGCTTCCAGGTCAGTGCGTAGTGTCCTGCAGTCATACTTAGCACAGAGCAAGAGGCTTACTACTTGAAGGACAGGCTGCTGTTATTTGAGGTAGTCTCCCTCCTGCCCCCATGCCTTAGGGACATAGAGCTTGAATGTCTCCTTCCAGTTTGCTTTTCTCCACCTGAGCATTCATGGGTCTCATATCCATATGGTGCTATAGTCACAGCACCCGAGGGACTGCTCCGCCTCACAGCCCTCTGGAGTATAGCCAGAGGGGTTTCTTGTCCCTGCCCCTCGGGGATTGATGTTCTTTGACAGGGACTCAAGCTTCTTCTCTACTCAGAACCCTAGTTTCTCTTTTCATCTCCCCAAATGCAGTCACACATGGTCATTATTTATTTTTTAATATATTTTATTAATTATGTTACAACATTTGTCCCATTCCCCCTTTCGTTCCCCTCCACCCTGCACATGCCCTCCCACCCACATTCCCCCCTTTAGTTCATGTTTATGTGTCAGAAGTTCTTTAACTTCTACATTTCTCACACTACTCTGGCCCTCCCCCTGTCTATTTTCTCCCCACTGTCTGCACTACTTATTCTCTGTACCTTTCCCCCCTCTCCTCCCACTGCTCTGTTGCTAACCCTCCATGTGTTCTCTGTTTTTGTGGTTCTGTTCCTGTTCCTAGTTGTTTTCTTAGTTTTTGGTTTAGGTGTGGTTGTTAATCATTGTGTTTGCTGTCACACACGGTCATTGTTGACTGTTTTCTTCTCCTGTAGCGAAAGATGGTTATTGAAGATGAAACAGAGTTTTGTGGGGAAGACCTGCTTCACAGTGTGCTGCAGTGTAAGGTAAGGCCTTGTGGCTAGAGCTGGAGTTAGGAACTTCCTGTGGGGGGCTGTGTTGGGCTTTTCTAGTTCTTTTAAATCAGTTGTGGGTGGCTGAAGTTTAGCTAATATTTTCCTGGAGATCAAGATGTGTAGCTTGTACATTTCTCCAAGGTACCCTTTTCCTGGTGACTGTCCTGCCTTGTAGTGTTTGTTGTGCTGTCCTGTGGTCAGTAGCCAGGAAAGGATCCACTTAACCTCAGTGGGTCAGTTCATTGTAGTCTTGGTCAGGGGGTGGGGCGAGCTGGTGTAATGAAAAGTTTGGAATCATTCTTTAGCCTCAGATAGACCTGAATTCAAATCCTAGTTTTGCAACATTTTTTACTATGTGACCTTGGGCCAGTTGCTTTCACTTCTCTGAGTTTTAGTTCCCTCATCTATAAGATAGGGAGCAAATACTTCCTAGGGTTGCTGTGAGAATCAAATAAAATACTGGGTGTGAGGCTCCTAACATGCAGGGTGAATATTAGTCTTCTCTTGATATCTTGTGGCCTGAGTTTTGGGCCAGGAAGTGCATTGCCCAGGACAGAATAAGCCAAGGAAACTGAGGAGGAAATGGGTTGGAGAAGCACTAAGGCCTCAGACTAGCCTCACAGGTTTTATTTTCTGACAGGCAGAGGGTTGGGAATATCCTTCCAGTGACTGGTGCTCAAGTGAAGTGAGGCTTTCTTTCAGAGAGGAAATAGGAGGATGGAGAAGGGATCCCTCCTGTGTGGTAGGTCTTGGTTTGTTTACTCTCTCTCAGTGAGCCCTGGTCAAGAGAGCCTTGGTATCAGAACTCTTGTCCTTGGAAAGTTGCTGCTGGAGTGGAGAAACATTTGCTGCAAGGAATAGCAATGCCAAGAGGTGGCCCTGTGTATTACCACGGTTGCCATTTATTAACCAGTTACCGTGTGCCAGGGACATGCTTATATTTGATTTTTTCACATTTTGCTGATGATGTAGTTGAGGGTCAGAGTGATCGAGTAACTTGTCCAGGGTCACACAACTGGTTGTTTTCAAGCTGGGATACAGCAGGAGCCTTGCTCTGTGGAGGGCTGCTTGTTGGGCTCCTCCAGTTGTTATGAGCCCTGTCCCATCCCGGAGGGTGATGCTCACCCTGAGTTTCTGATTCTCTCTGGGCAGAGTGTGTTTGATGTCCTGGACGGGGAGGAGATGCGGCGAGCTCGGACCCGGGCCAATCCCTACGAGATGATCCGAGGAGTCTTCTTCCTAAACAGGTTTGCTGACGTTCCCCTGACGCATGTACCCTTCAGCCTTTTCTTTGAGCTTCAGCTTCCTATATGTCTGGTACCGAATTGAGCTTCTCTGTCTGACTTTGTTGTAGGGCGGCAATGAAGATGGCTAACATGGATTTTGTGTTTGATCGCATTTTTACAAATCCACGGGACTCTTACGGGGTGAGAACAAGTTTCTGCTTCTGAAATCATAGTGTTAAATGAGCTTAAGTGGCTCAGAAATTGACATTTTATTTATTTTTTATTTTTTATTTTTTTAATGTATTTTTTTATTGATTATGCCATTACATTTGTTCTATTCCCCCCTTCATTCCCCTCCACCCTAGCCCCCTCCCCACCTTACCCCCCTTTAGTTTATGACCATGTGTCTCAAGTTCTTTAGATTCTATATTTCCCATACTATTCTTGCCCCCCATCTATTTTCTATCTACTGTCTATGCTACTTATTTTCTGTACCTTCTCCCCCCTTCTCCTCCTCCCACTCCCCTGTTGCTAACCCTCCTTGAGATCTTCATTTCTATGTTTCCACTCCTGGTCTAGCTGTCCTTTTAGTTTGCTTTCGTTTTAGGTGTGGTTGTTAATAACTGTGAGTTTGCTGTCCTTTCACTGTTCGTGTTTTTTTAACTTCTTTTTCTTAGGTAAATCCCTTTAACATTTCATATAATAAGGGCTTGGTGATGATGAACTTCTTGAACTTGATCTTACCTGAGAAGCACTTTATCTGTGCTTCCATTCTAAATGAAAGTTTTGCTGGATAGAGCAGTCTTGGTTGTAGGTCTTTGGATTTCATGACTTGGAATACCTCTTTCCAGCCCCTTCTTGCCTGTAAGGTCTCTTTTGAGAAATCCGCTGACAGTCTGATGGTAACTGCTTTGTAGGTGACTGTCCCCTTATGTCTTGCTGCTTCTAGGATTCTCTTCTTCATTTGAATCTTGGCTAATGTAATGATGATGTGCCTTGGTGTGTTCCTTCTTGGGTCCAACTTCTTTGGGACTCTCTGAGCTTCCTGGATTTCCTGGAAGTCTATTTCCTTTGCCAGCCTGGGGAAATTCTCCTTTATTATTTGTTCAAATAAGTTTTCCACTGGTGGCTGTTTCTTTCCCCCTTCTGGTACCCCTATAATGCAGATGTTGGAGCATTTAAAGATGTCCTGGAGGTTCCTAAGACTCTCCTCATTTTTTTGAATTCTTGCTTCTTCACTCTTTTCTGTTTGGCCATTATTTGCTTTCTTCTGGTCCACTCCATTGATTTGAGTCCCAGTTTCCTTTTCATCGCTATTGGTTTCCCATGCAATTCCATTCATTTCAATTAGTTTCGCTTTCATATCTTTGTCTAATTTGTGACTATAATCAACCAGTTCTGTGAGGATCCTGATCACCAGTGTTTTAAACTGTGTGTCTGAGAGTTTTGCTATTTCTTCATCGCTTAGATTTATAGGCTCTGGGGCTTTGAGATCTTCTTGAGCCATTTTTGGTCTGTTTGCACCCATTAAATCTAAGGAGCGGAGCCTTGGACTCCCAGCAGGTTGCTGGGTTGTGACACTGTATGTGGGGGCGTGGTCAGAGCAGGGAAATGGCGGCCCTCTCTGCTGTTTCGAGGGCTGCTGGGTGATGAGCAGAACCTTAGGTGGTTCCCCAGGGCAGGGCTACTCAGAGTCGCTGAGTTATGACACTGTATGTGGAGGCGGGGTCAGAGTGGGGAAATGGTTGCACCCTCCGCTGCCGCTCGCCACAGGGACCCACTGGGTCCCGTCCAATCGCCCATTCCCTCGTTTGTCTATCCAGCAGGAATGCGCGACCACAGTCAACCCGCAGCCCTGCTCTCTCGCTGTTTCCCCGAGGTTGCTCGCTGGGTCTCTCACTAGGTCCAACCCTGAGCCTGGATTCCGGGCACCTGAGTCCGTCTGACTGAGTTTTTCTGTGCTACCCCACTCCACCAGCTGCTGGTTTCGCCCCTCTTACCGGTCAGACTGAAGAATTTGTTGTTAACAGACTTCCGAAAAGTTCAATTTTCTGTGTTCTGGCTGTGTTTTCTGTTGCTAATATTTAGTTGTCTCTAAACTTGGTTGTGTGAGGAAGCAGGGCGTCTCCACCTATGCCTCCATCTTGGCGGAAGTCCTAGAAATTGACATTTGTGCAATGCAGTTATTCCTGCTGTGTGTTAGAGATACATACTTTATGTTAGAGATATAATTTGCTTTGAGCTCCTCAGATGGGGCCCCACAGTGTTTTCTGTGGTCCCAGGAGTGCCCCAATAAGCATTGTCTCCAGGGCTTCATGTCCTAGTCCCCAACTCTGCAGATCCTCTTGCTCACTCCAGGTGGAGGTAAGTAGGGCTTCCAGCAGTGGAGAAGGGACATTCCTGGGAACAGTCAGCAGGTGTGGCATCTAACGGCCTAGGGAACAGGTAGATGAGGCCACAAGTTAGAGCATGGGCCTGCCTCCTGCACTCATTAAACATGTATTTATCCAGCCCCTACTTTGTGCCAGGCACAGTGCTAAGGCACCAGGAATATAATTTGGAATGAGATAGATGTGATTCCTTTCCCCATAGTGCTTAGGTTCTGGACATTCTAGGGGACCTGAGAGCTGGTAAGTGTGCAGGGTTGGGGTATTTGTAAAGCCTGTTGTGTTTACTGACATGTGAGGCCAGTTATCACCAGGGCGCTTTAGCCTGTCTCTGTACCATGGATGAGGTGGAGTAGAAGGGGGACTGTGCAGTCCTCAGAGTGAGCTTATTTTCTGATTATTTGAAACTGACATCATCTGACTCGGGTGCTGTTTCTGGTATAAGAAGGGAGTGCTCTGGGGAATGTTGAGAGGTGATGAAATGTGGGCCTCTGGAGCCTTCCGCTGATCCATTTACAGTCAGTGTCAGGGCTGTGTCACAGTGGGGAATGCAGCACTTACAGTCACAGGTGGTGTCATTTAAGATCACACCTTCTCTGTGCCTCAGCTGCCTGCTCTCTGAAAATAGCCCTACTAACCTGCCACAGGGCCAGTGTAGGACCAAAGGTTCTTAAGAGTTGTTCCAGCTCTCAGATCTGTGATTTCTGATGTGGCTGCTTTCGCTTCCTGCCTCTTAGAACAAGTTTTGTGTGGGGTCATAGTTATCAGGCTTTGGCCCTTCTCAAGAAGCGGTAGAGCAAAATGATCTTCTGTGCCGCTGCATCTCATCTTTCTGAACACACACCCTCTGTGACGATAGAGAAAAAATAAAGGAAATTTCGTTCTGGCATTACCTTGGCTGGGTTTCGAAGCATTTTTACCCAGTTCTAGAAAGTGAGCTCTCTGTTCCTGCTTTATTCACCCTTCTTCCATTAGGCCCCTGATTATTCTTTTCCAAGCTCTTTAATGTTTCAGTTCCACCTGCCTCACTGCTTTCTCTGCACTGGCAAAGCTGGCATAGAGACCCCTCCAGCCTTTAGTCATTTCTCTCTCAGGTCTCCCACCCCATTTTCTAGTACCAGCAGGCAGCACAAAAGCGTTCTTGGAATTAGCATCTTGAGAAAATTAGGTTGATATAATGTTGATTAAATTTTCTGAGCTCCAAATGATTTTAAACTCCTGCCTGGCAGAGGAGCTCTGTCAAGCTGATGGGAAGTCACAGCATCCTTTTGGGCTTTTGAATGAAAGTGCCTCCAGCAGCTGGTATCTGATTATTGTCTCTTGCTGTCAGGAAGGTAAAGCAGGCACCAGGCCGAACCATTCAGGTCGAGGGAGATGTTAGTTACATAGGAAAAGGCAGCCGTGTTTGTAATGCTTCAGGCAGAGTCTTGACCTGAATTGATTATTAGTGGCCATGGAGAATTGCCCTTTCAGGATGTTTCTCCACACTCTACTATAAAAAGTGATTTCTCTCCGGCCCCTGGTATTTTCTTCTTTTTTTAATCTCTGTTTTTCCCTGAGCACCAGAGTGACAGCCAGGGCCAGTAGACTTGGTATGTTTTTCAGGTGAGCAGAGATGCTTTGGAGCAGTTACCAGAAAAGATGGGAGTGGCTGAAGCCCCAGCCACATACCAGGTGGCGGTAGAAGTTGAAAAGAGACTAGGGTGCGAAATAAAGGAATTCTGAACAGGAGTTGGAAGAGACAAAGGAAAGAAGGAAATTTAGATTCTTTGGGTACATGGAAGTGTATTATAAACCATAACATCGTGTGAGGAATTTGTGTGCCTCCGGATGTTGTCGAGGTAAGAAAACGTGTTTTGAAGTGTAACAGGTGACAGAAACTGAAGGTCGGTGTTTAAGTTTCAGTGCTGTTTCAGAGGAAGTGAGAGCACTTAGAAAGTGCCCAGTGAGGCACCGGAAAGAGAACAAGATGGAAGAGGACGGGAGTTTTCACTCTGAGATAGTTAATCTAGTTGAATACAGTATCTTACATTTTAGTATTTTACAGTTTATTAAGGTTTTTGACATTTGGTAATTTATTTAATCCTACAGCAGTCTTAAATAACCTACATTAGTCCCAGTTTATAGTTGAGGAAGCTTGAACTTCAAAGCATAAATTGTGTGCTTGCTGGTGACTACACAGCCAGTAGGTAGCAGAGGTGAAAACCCCAGCTGTCCTTTCTATGACAGGTCCTTCTGGCTGTGGCCTGTGAGGGCCCCAAGTCTTGAAATCACAGAATGAGATCATAGTTACCGTCTCTTTTTGGAGGTGAGATGCTTTTGTTGGTGTACACCCCTTTCTTCCCCTAATCTTCCTTTGGGCCAGCTGCCCACCCGGAGAGGCTAGAGCCTGGGCCTGGGGCACTGGGGCCCACCCTGTGGTGAGGACCAGTGTCCAGCCTGTGCAGGCCTTAGGCTTGTGACCCCCGGCTCATTACTGCTGTACTGTCGGGAAAGTGCTACATGATGTTCTTGGTAAGTGCCATTAGGTCTTTTGTGTGTGCAAATGAATATAATCCAAATATATGAGCCGTTGATGGCTTAGGAACAAGGAATGGGGCAGAGTGGTAGGGAAGGGACGAAGGAACTGATACTGCATAGCATGCCTGGGTGGGCTTGTCGCAGGATAGTGAAGTGTGTTTTTAGCTAAAGTCACTTATTCCAGAAACATATTCACTGTTTTTGATAAAGCTAGATAGCTATAGTCAGAGGGAACACCTTTGTCACCTAGAAATGGACTGAATTGTGGATGTTAGTTTTTCTATTTCTTTCTTAAAACTGTTTTCCCTAAAGCTTTCTGATCTTTATCTGGTGGTTACAGAACTCTGGAGAGCACTGGGCCGTGTCAGTCTGTAGAGAGCACAGGCCAAGCTGCCTGAGCCCCTTCGTCAGGGCCCTCCTCTGCCACTACCTAGAGCCCAACCTCTTGTTGGAGATGGGGCCTTCTCTCCACTGTGGAGGGTCGGGGCAAGGAGAGTCCCCGTCCGGGGACCAGGTGTGTAAAAGAGAAGTGTTAAACACAACACAGGTCAGTGCTGCGTTTAGCACGAATTTTAGATTAAGAGTTAAAGCTACTCAAGTGGCCCAAACTATAATCCAACAAAAATTCAAATGGTTATTATAATGTAGTTATTTCTGAGCTGTGGGTGTTCTGAGGGTGCTCTGGAAGCTGCACACCTATGTTTCCTTTTCCCTCTGTCTCGTCCGCTGCCAGCTGTGCACCGTCCAGGCCCCCAGCTACCAGAGAGGCACAGGCAAGAGAAGAGAGGGGTGTTAAAAAGGAGGAGACCAAATGCCCTGTGGTGTCTTAGATCCTGGAGCAGAACAAGGACTCTAGTGGAATCTGAATCAAGTCTGAGTTTAGTCAATAATCGAGTACCAATGTTAGTTTCTTGGTTTTGACAAATGGCAGTGTAAGATGTCAGTAAAACTGGAAACTGGGTGAAGGGTGTACGAGAGCTCTGTCTTTGCAACTTTTCTGTAAACCTAAAATTATTACAAAATAAAAAGTTAATTGAAAGAAAAGGAAGAGCCTAGGAGGAAGGGGAGCAGGGAAGCAGAGGCTGTGGTCTGGGAAGGTAGGTAGGTGCTGTGGCTGAGGCCGACGACTTCAGAGTCGCCAGACATGGGTTGGACAGCAAGACCCGAGTCTGGCACTCAGGCCAAATGGCTCCCGGTTTTCCTTTGCTGCACACTGGTTGGGAACAGGACAGTGTGTCTTGGTGTCTCTTCCTGTGTGTAATGCATCAATTCTGCTCAGTAGGACTCTTGTAAGGCAGGATATAGTGAAGAAAAGAGGCCGAGAAACAAAAAATGCACACTCAGGTGCCCATTAAGATGTGTTTATGAGGAGTCTGAGCTAGGCCTGTTGGTGGGGAAGGCATCAGGGGTATTTCAAGGTGGGGATGGGCAACTCCGGAGGGTGACGGTCACAGAGTTGCATTTCCTGGGTGTCGTGGTCCTGGCAGGAACTCTGCCTCGTGCTTGGGGAAAGGGTGATTTCACTCCCTGCCTGCTCCCCACTGAGCCATCTCTTTTCTCTTTCTCCCTTGTTTTCCACTTGCCTTTGCAGAAACCTCTGGTAAAGGACCGGGAAGCCGAGCTTCTGTACTTCGCTGATGTCTGTGCAGGCCCAGGTGGCTTCTCGGAGTACGTGCTGTGGAGGAAGAAGTGGCACGCGAAGGGCTTCGGAATGACTCTGAAGGGCCCAAATGACTTCAAGCTGGAGGACTTCTATTCAGCCTCCAGCGAACTCTTTGAACCTTACTATGGTAGGGACACAGAGGGTACAAGGGGACTTTAGGTCAGTAGCAGCTACTGTCCACTTGCCATGTTTTCTTTCCTAGGTCTCTCAGCCTGGGGGTCCTAGTCCTATGCCATGAAGGTCTCGGTTCCCCCTGGGCTGTCCCTTTTTACCCCAGGCCTGCGGGGTACAGGTTCAGCGCTCTGCTAGGCAAACTCTCATCCAGACCATACTCATTCCATCTTTCTTCTCTGGGGTAACAGGAGATAATGAAACTGCCTGACCTCCAGCTGAGGACTGGCAGGGTTATTAACATACACACCCCATGTCCACCCCAGCCTGGGGCCGGGGTGTGGAAAGTATTGGTAACAGACAGCTCAGCAACCTCGCAGCAGTCCCCTCCACTCGGTCTTGATTGTTGTGATTTGACAGCAGGTTCTAAGTCCTTTCTTAATGGTCCTTCTTAGAAAGTCAGTACTGCTTCTGAAATGTAGGCACTTTAAACATAATGTTGGCCTTAGGGAGGAAGGCCCTGTGTTTCAGTTGCTGACTTTTGGCTGGTTAACTCCTTTTCATCTCTGTTTTATTACATACAGCAGGGCCCTGTTTCTGCCTCTTGGTCCATCACTACAAGGCAGTCTTGCAAGAGGGGTCCTGCAGAGAGTTGCTCCTCACAGGGGCTTTTCTCCTGGACCTCGTGACCCACCTGGTAGCTTTTTCACAGCCCCAGAGAGCTCTTGCCCCAGCTCTTGGGATGCATAGGACCAACGAGATTAATGTGAATCTTGTGTCCTACAGGCGAGGGTGGGGTCGATGGAGATGGAGACATCACCCGCCCAGAGAACATCACTGCTTTCCGGAATTTTGTCCTGGATAACACGGATCGCAAGGGAGTCCACTTTCTGATGGCTGATGGGGTAGGTGTTCTGCTCTCCATAGGCTGATGCTTTAGGTATTTATCACAGAGGCTTCAGAATTGTTTTTGTTTTATTATGTTAGCCCTTTAGCTGCCCTGGAAGGTGCTAGCCCACTGTTCAGATAGTAAGGGATGCATGATTTATGTTTCTATTCTTTTGTGCATATGTTTCAATGATAACTTTGTCAAGGCAATGATGTTGTGGACACCTTTGCTCGGAGCAGGTGGCCCCTCTCAGCTCACTTCTTCAAAGGGCCTTGGTCGGCTGTGAGATTCAGTGAGGTAAGGACCATGACTCAGGTGAACTAGGCAAAACTGAGAAGAGCATTTCCATTGTTTGTCACCTGGGTGCCACTCTTGACAGAGGCTGTTTATACACCGCCACCTCTAGGCCTCTGGATGGGCTGATAGATGAGCACATAACCAAAGGCAGCAGTTCCAGGGAACCCACAGCAGGCTTTCTGTCAGTGGCTGGGCTAAAGTGAATATTCTTGGAGCCTCGTTCTTTGGGCAGCTGCTTAAAGTACGGAGAGGAACCCACTGCTGCTTTCTCACCCACTAGTCTGATGTGACAGGTAGTCTTTTCTGGAGTGGGCCACCACTTAGTCTAGAGGAGGGACAGAGAATATGGCAGTCGCTCCAGAGTCACATGGCTAGAGTTGAGAAAAACCTCTGGAACAGCTTGGGTAGCCTTTCAAGTATCAGCTTCTGGAAAGATGAAGGAATGTGCAGGATGCCAGCGTGGGCTCTCAGAGTGTTGTGCATAGTAGGGAATAACACAGGCTGGGGGGCGGGGGCTGCCCCGGCTGAGCAGCCAGTGTGTTTCTTGCAGTGCTTGGGAGGCCCTGTTGCAATCGGGCAGCTGGAGTAGCAAACTCAGGGGTTGTGTTTCTTCTTCAGTAGTGTAGACCAGTGACCTGAGCTGCTCTTTTTCTTCTTCTTTTTGATTGACCCTATAAACAGGCATGTATTTTTGACAAGCATTGATCAATTTAGAAGGCATTGCTAAACACTTTTTAAAATATTTTATTATTCATTTTTAGAGAGACAGGAAGAAAGGGAAAAAGAGTGGGAGATAATCATCAATGTGTATTGTATTGAGAGATACAATATATCAATTGGTTGCCTCTCAAATACCCTCCAGCCTGGGGATCCAGCCCGCAACCCAGGCATGTGGCCCAACCAGGAACTGAACCAGCAGTCTTTCAATTCATAGGCTGGCATTCAGTCCACACCAGCCAGAGTCTGCTAAACGTTTTTGATTTCTGGATCATTTAGCTACTACCTTCGTAAGACTGAGTCAGGGAAATCTGGCCTGGCTGGGGCCAGCTTAATGAATGACAGCCTCATTTACTTTTTAAAAAATTATTGTGGTTAAAGCCCTGGCTGGTGTAGCTCAGTGGATTGAGTGCAGGCCTAGAAACCAAAGGATCGCGGTTTGATTCCCAGTCAGGGCACATGCCTGGGTTGCAGGCCAGTTCCCAGTGGAGGACGCACAGAAAACAACCAAACATTGACATTTCTCTCCCTCTCTCCTTCCCTTCCCCTCTGAAGATAAAGAAATAAAATCTTTTAAAAAATTATTGTGGTAAAAAACATGCAACACATTTATCATCTCAACCAGTTGTATGTGTACACAGTTCAGTAGTGTTAAATATATTAACATTATTCTGAAAGAGATCTTCGGGATGTTTTGATTTTACAGAATTGAAACCATGCCCATTAAACAGCTGCGCTCTCCCCTCCCCCGGCCTTCAGCCTCCTTTTCTTCTCTGTGAGTTCGGCTCTCTGCTCCCTGCGGGGCTCTCACAGGAGGAGACCACTCCGAACAGCAACATATGTACTTTGAACAAACGTCCTGGCCAGAGACCCTGCTAGCTAGAGGGTGAAACTTTGAACAGGAAAGTGGGTTTCGTGATTAAATCCTTGTTCAGCAGAGAAAGTGAGATCACTGAGTGTCAGAGGTTTGCTGACTTTTCTTCTGTCACAAAACCGGGGCCTGTGCAGCGTTCAGCACAGAGGCTGAGGGAGGCCAAGCAGAGCACTCGCGCCACACGTACTTCCTGGGTCTCATCAGACTCACCAGAGCATCGTTTCCTATATTTGGCCTGTGACTAGCCAGTGCGTTGCTTCTATTCTGCCTTACTCTTCCCTCGGATTTTTTTTTTTTTAAGATTTTATCTTTAGAGGGAAAGGGAAGGAGAGAGGGAGAGAAATATCAATGTACGGTTGCCTCTAGTGTGTCCCCTGCTGGGAACTGGCCTGCAACCCAGGCACGTGCCCCGACTTGGAATCAAACCAGCATCCCTTTGGTTCACAGGCCCACGCTCAATCCACTGAGCTACATCAGCCAGGGCCTTCCCTTGGATTCTTAAGTGAGTGTTGCTGGACCACCTCCTTGGAAAACCAGACTTGGTTCCACCCTCTGGGTGTGTTAGAGCAGATGGCACTGGTCCAGTTGTCAGGCCTAGGTCCTGTTCATAATGAACCATATGACCTGCCAAAATAATTCAAATGCCGAGCTGTATCTTTATCAGTCAGGTGGTGGAGATCCATGAAAACACTTGAAGAAATCTTAATGAAGATGAGAGATGTTTTTGCAGTCGTCTTCACTTCTGTTTCCCACCCCAGTTCTTGTGCTGCCATTTCAGGGTTTCTCTGTGGAGGGACAGGAGAACCTGCAAGAGATCCTGAGCAAGCAGCTGCTGCTCTGTCAGTTCCTCATGGCACTCTCTGTGGTCCGGACAGGTGACACTCCCTCAGCCATCTCCCCATCCCAGGACCCGCTGGAGGCCCCATTAGCAAAGAGCATGCATGAGTGTGGGCTCAGAAGTTAAAAAAAGAAACCTGCTTGTGTTAGGTGACGGGTGACTGAATGAGGAGTTTAGGGAAGAAAGTGCTGCAGAATCCTCTAAGTCCCCCTCTAAAACTAAATGAACCCCTTAAACTGCCTCTGACATTTGATGGACCTAGGTTCTGAGTCCCTGACTTGGTCACATTTATTCCCTGAGATCACCTTACCTACCTCCTGGACTAGAACCTACTGACAGGTGTTTTTTCTCTAATCCAGGAGGCCACTTCATCTGTAAAACCTTTGACTTGTTCACACCATTCAGCGTGGGGCTCATCTACCTGCTGTACTGCTGCTTTGAACGAGTATGTCTGTTTAAGCCGATTACCAGCCGTCCTGCCAACTCAGAGAGGTGAGGTTTTCCTTTCCATTTTAATCCGAGTAGTTGGCTAAATGTCAGAACACACATCCTGGTGCATCTCTGGCATGTTCCCTCAAGCTACATTAAAAACCTTGACTCGAAAGAAGTGATTAAGCCCAGAGGAGTCAGGATTTGGACCTTTAGTGGGTCTGTGATATGCCAGTTCAGTCTCTGCCTCCTCCTTTACAAGCCTTATTCACCACACTTACGTGGGGGGATCCTTGGGTTGGCCCAGGAAGGAGGAGGTGACCAATGGAAGGGACACCTGGAGAAACATGGGTTGGGCCAGGGCAAAGGGACCACCAGTCAGAAGCCTCCTAGGCAGGACACAGTGCCATGCACAGTGTGAGAAAATGCGGCCAAACTGAATTGCTAGGTGGCCTGTTAAAAACACAAGATTTCCGAGCCCCATCCCTGGAACGTCTGATTGATGAGTCTTTAATTTATCAGAATCCCCAGGTGATGGTGATGCAGGCAGCTTGGCACAGGGCCCTTGGGAACCACAGCCATAAAGACTAGAAATATAGTCCAACATAAAAAAGAAGGATTTGAGGTGAACTTTTGCAGCACAGAGTCTGTGCTGTTCCTTGTACATAGACTTAAGGCTGTTAAACTTCATGACTCCAGGGGTCTGGGGAGGAGGAATGTTGGCAGAAAGTCCTTGTTCGTGGAGTGAAATTTTTCTCCTGCCAGGTATGTGGTGTGCAAGGGCCTGAAGGTGGGCGTAGATGATGTGCGGGAGTACCTCTTCTCAGTCAATATTAAACTCAACCAGCTGCGAAATACTGATTCCGATGTCAACCTTGTGGTCCCTTTGGAAGTGATCAAGGGAGACCATGAATTTACTGACTATATGATACGGTCCAATGAGAGGTAAGCAAACCAGGTATTTGTTGTTGGCACCACTAGGGTATTAGGGAAGGCCAGAGAATGAAGGACTACATGATTGGCTCTTGGTATCAGTTTGTCAACCCTGAAAAATTGGTAATTGGATTTGGTCTGCTTGTTCTTGGGCCCCTGGGACTTAGAATACCTTAGAGACTCTCATCCTGCTCCCACGCCCTTTCACGAGGGCGGCCAGTGGGAGCCTGGGTGCCATAGCTCTGCCCTGGGGGCCTGAAGAGCAGCCTCCTCTTGTGGCCCTTGTGGTGGGAGTAATTTCCCTTTAATTGCTTGTTTGTAACAGGCTGTTGTGGTTGTTGGCTTGTGGAGCCCCTGATTGGAGGCGGGAGGTAGCTGGAAACAAGTACATGACAGGCTTTGGAAGTTTTGATACTAAAGCCTTTGCCAGTTCATGAGTTCCCCAGATGGGTGATTTGAATGCTGCTGTTGTGTGTGTGTTTTTTGTTTTGTTTTTAAACCTTGTTTAATTGTTTCTCCTCCTCCTGGGTAGTGGTAATATAAAGTTGTGACAGTTGGCTCAGTTTTTTAGGGGCACGCGTGAGAAACAAGTTTTTTTGTGGTAGGTTGGAGAGCTGTATAGTAGCAGTGAGTCTGTGGAAGTGCTTTCTTGGGGGACTGAATAAGGTCATTCTATCCATTCCTCTGTCCATGGACATTTAGGTTGTTTCCGCATCTTGGCTGTTTTGAATAATGGTACAGTGAACATAGGGATGCTAATATCTTTTCAAGATCCCAGTTTCAGTTATTTTGGGTAAATACTCAGAAGAGGAATTGCTGGATCCTAATGGTGTTTCTCTTTTTTTTCCTTGCTTCGTTGCACCTCTGGTTCCTCCAGTGTGATGTTCAATTGAAGTGATGAGAGCAGACGCCCTAGCCTTGTTCTTGATTTTAAGTGTGAAATCTTTACCCATCAAATATGGTGTTAGCTGTAGGTTTTTCGTAGATATCTTTTATCAGGTTGACAAAGTTTTCTTCTATTCCTTTGTTTGCTGAGAATTTTTACTATGCCTAGATGTTTAATTTTGTCAAATATTTTTTATGTATCTATAGAAATTATTTTTCTTCTATTTCATTTATAGTGAATCACATTGATGATTTCCAAATGGCAAACAGATCTTGTGTTTTTATTTTTATATTTTTTAAAGATTTTATTTATTTATCTTTAGAGGGGAAGGGAAGGAGAGAGAGAGAGAAATATCAATGTATGGTTGCCTCTTGTGTGTCCCCTGCTGGGAACTGGCCTGCGACCGAGGCATGTGCCCCGACTGGGAATCAATCCCAAACTGTGGTTGCTTGGTTCCCAGGCCTGTGCTCAATCCACTGAGCTACACCAGCCAGGGCCAGATCTTGTGTTTTTAGATTAAGTCAAGTTGGTCATGAGTTACACTCTAATATGTTGCTATATTTGATTTATTATATTATCAAATATAATATATATTTGATTTAATATATGTTATATCTTATTACATATTAATGATTTTTGTGTCTATGATCATTAGGGATATTAGTCTCTAAATCTCTACTCTTTTGAAGTTCTCGTCTGGTTTAAATATATATGTGTATTTAAGTGCTATATATTTCTCTTTATAATCCTGTAATTTATACATAAATATATAAAAAGAAAAAGAGCCTAAAAATCAAGAAGTTAGAAAAAGAAAAGCAAATTGAGCCCAAATTAAGAAGCATAAAGGAATTAGCCTTGACCACTGTGGCTTGGTTGGGTGCAATCCTATAAAGAGGAGGTTTTTGGTTCAATTCCCATTGGAGGCACATGCCTGGGTTGTGGAGCAGGTGCCCAGTCGGGATGCATGAGAGAGGCAACTGACTGCTGTTCCCCTCCTACATTGATGTTTCTCTCTCTCTCTTTCTCCCTCCCTTCCTGTCTCTCTAAAAATAAATAACTATATTTTTAAAAAAGGAATTAATAATTTTATTTTACTTAATCAATTATTCATAGCATTTACATGTATCTATATTAAATTTTCCTTTAAGGACTGTTTAGCTGAGTCTCCCACATTTTGATATCTTTTTTTCATCATTACATCATTCAAAATATTTTAAAAAATTTTCTTACAATTTGTTCTTTGATTTATGGATTATATAGATATGTGATATTCAATATCCAGATATTTTGGGATTTCTAAGATATACTCTATGATTTTCATCCTTTGAAACTTACTGAGATTTTTTTTCTGGCCTATCCTGTGATCTATCTTTGTGAATACTCCAACTGCTATTATTGAGTATAGTGTTTTATGAACATTAATTTGGTCAAGTTGGTTCATAGTGATTTTCAGATCTTACATATCTTAACTGATACTGACTACTGCTATCGGTAGCTTAAAGAAGGATGTTAAAATGATTTGTCTATTTTTTAGTTTTCCTTCACATATTTGGGGTCTTTGTTATTAGCAGGCACACACACATTTAAGGTTATTTTTTCTTCTTAACAAATTGACCTTCTGTCAGTGTGGCGTGTCCTTCCTTATCTGAGGTATACCCTTAGTCTTGAAGTCTACTTGTCTGATAGCAATGTAGCCACATCATCTTTCCTTTGTTCACTATTTATGTGGTTTATCTTTTCATGTCTTTTTATTTTCAATTTGTCTTTGTGTTTGTAAAAAACATATGGTTGGGTCCTGACTGGTGTGGCTTGGCAGGTTGGGCATTGTCCCATGAACTGAAAGGTCACTGGTTCTATTCCCTGTCAGGGCACATGCCTAGGTTGTGGGCTAGGTTCCTGGTTGGGGGTGTGTTAGGGGCAACTGATGTCTTTCTCCCTCTCTTTCTCCCTCTCTTCCCCTCTCTCTGAAAATAAAAAAGTAAAATATTTAAAATAAGTAACATATGGTAGGTCCAACCTTTTTTATCTAGTGTAACAGTCTCTCTCTCTTTTTTTAAATCCTCACCTGAGGATATGTTTATTGATTTTGTGGGGGGTGGGGCGAGGATATCAATTGGCTGCCTCCATTATGTGCCCTGACTGGGGAATGAACCTGAAATCTTTTGGTTGGACACTCCAACCAACTGAGCGACTTGGCAAAGGCCAGGCTCTACCTTGTAATTGGGGTGTTCAGTACTTTTACACGGACTGCAGTTATTGATATGTTTGGGTTTAAATCCCTTGTCTTGGTTGTTTGGTTTCTGTTTACCCTGCCTTCTGTTTCTCTGTTCCTTCGGGGAAGCAAATGAAGTGTGTTAGTAGTGTGTCTTTTTTATCTTCTTGGGGTTTTCTTTTTATGCTCTTTGTATGTTATGTTGCAGTTAACTCCAGAGATTACGGTGTGTGTCTTCAGTTTGTCATAGCGTCTTCAAAAAGTGTTCTGCTTTATGAATAGTGTAAGAACCTCTCCAGATGTAAACATGCTTTTGTAATTCTCCTTCCTTTGTGCTCCTGTTTTATATAAAAATCTTACTTTACATTGCCCTTTTTATTTTAAACAATCTATAGTCTTTTATTTTTTATTAAAAAATTATTTATTGATTTGAGAAAGAGAAACATCAATTTTGTTGTTCCACTTATTCATGCATTCATTGGTTGATTCCTGTATGTGCTCTCACCAAGGGTCGAACCCACAACCTTGCTGTATCAGGATAACGCTCTAACCAACTGAGCCACCCGGCCAGTCTAACAGTCTTTTAAAGAGATTTAAAGATATATGTGTGTGAGTATTTATTCTTACTTATTTATTTTTAAAGGTTTCTTGGTATTTACTGACGTTCCCATTTCGGTGTTCTGCATTGCTTCCTGCAGAGCCAGGTTTCTGTGTGGAATCATCTCTCTTCACCCTGAAGGATTTCTTTTAGCCTGTGTTTGTAGTGCACTCGCTGGAGACTAACTCCCTCAGCTTTTGTCTTTTGAAAATGTTTTTATTTACTTTTCACTTTTGAAGGATATTTTCATTGGATATAGATTTCGAAGTTGGTCATATTTTTCTTTCAGCACTTTAAAGATACTGTTCTCTGCTTTCCTTGGTTTTTGATTAGAAGTCAGTCAGTAGTGTTGCCATTGTTTCCCTGTGTGTCTGTTTCATTTGTGCTTTTCTCTGTATCTTTTGTTTCCAGCATGTTGAACATGATGTGTTTTATGTTTGTATATGGCTTCTTTTTTTCAGTGTGGATTCTGCTTGGGGTTGTTCTTTTTACTTTGGGTCTGTAGATTGACTTTATTCATCAATTTGGGGAAATTCTTAGTTACTATCTTGTCATTATATTTGTCCTTTCTTTCCTCTGCTTCTGAGATTCCGGTTATATTTATGTTACATTATTTGTTATTATCCACAGAGCTCACATGCTTTGTTAGGGTGTTCACTTTTTTTATGTTTTAGTTTGAGTTTTTATCTGTCAGGTTCACTGATTCTTTCCTCTACTGTGTTCAGTCTGCTGGTGAGCCCATCAGAGTCATTCTTTAACTCTAACATCCTATTAAGTCTAATTTTATTTGCTTTAAAAATATCGTTTATATATTTCTGTTGATATTCTTCATCTGTTTATGCATGTTGTACACCTTTTCTAGTAGATCCTTTAAGGTGTTTTTCAGTTATTGTACAGGCCCTGTCTGATAATTCCAACATTTGGACCATCTCTGGATCTTGCTCTGTTGCACTGTTTTCTTTCTCATCAGTGGGTCATCTTTTCTTGCTGTAGCACAGGTTTTATATGTCTTTATTAAATTCCAGACAGTGTATGTAAAAGAAAAATGGAGACTAGAATAAAAAGAGCAGCTGTTAGTGTTTATGGATTAAGTCAGTTTAGTCTGTAAACTAGGTCTGTGCTTTGTTGTTGCTTTATTTAGAATCAGTTCACCAGTGCTTTCACCTTAGTAAGGATGGGATCAGAACCATCCTTTTAGCAGGACCTGAGTGTATGAAGAATCTGATTCTTTTTTCTACTTTACCATCAGCCTTCAGGAGGCCCATGTAACCATACTTTGGGGTGTGGTTGAAGGGGTTCTGTATCAACTCTCAGTCTCTCCCCTAAATATAGATGGTGATTGTTCCTGCTAAACTTGTCTGTCCTGATGTCTTTTGGCTGTGTTTTTGGTAATCCTTCTGAGATTTTTTTTTTTTCCCTTCTAGACACTGTAGTCTGCAGATCAAAGCTCTGGCCAAAATCCATGCCTTTGTTCAAGACACGTGAGTCTTGCCCATGCTCTAGAATTTCACTTCAAAGGAGGATCTCTTCATTTTGCTCCTCCCCCTGAGCTCTTTATTTCATTTCAGCAAACATTTAAAAATTTGTACTCTTTTATCTCCTACTCTGCTGTGGTCTGTGAAGGATGTCAGAGAAACATATGGCATGATGAACCTTGCCCTCCAAGGCTTTATGATGTCTTTGGGAAGATAAGATTCTAGGAAGAGGATACAGGAAAAGTTATTAACTGTGTATCAGAGGGCGTAGAATACATCACTCAGGAGACACAGAATAAAGAGTGCTCAGAGAGGAAAAGTAGGACTGGTTAGGGAATATCTCTAGTCGGGGCAAGCATAAGCTAATTCATCTTTCTGTGGCATAGTGATGTCCACCAGGATGGATTTATTGGGGCCTGTGTCAGCAGAGGAGGAATCAGGATGTACCCTTGGGTAACTGGAGGGAGGGTGTGTGGGGAACCCTGGCGGGTGTCCAGGTGGTCAGACGGGGAGTCTCCTTTCCCGTTGTGGCAGTGAGGGAAGGTCATCCCCTTTTGTGTACATCTGAACTCCCGTCTTCAGGAGGCAGAACCATGGGCCTGTGATAAGCTCTCTGGGCTGACGGTAGCATGGCCTCTGTGTACGCACACACATTTATGCATGTGGGCTGCTTCTCTCTTGGGTTCTGAGGGGTGCAGAGAGGCACACTCCTTGTACCTCATGGAGGTTTTAATCACTTGCTGTCTTTATTTTCCCAGGACCTTGAGTGAGCCTCGGCAGGCAGAGATCCGGAAACAGTGCCTTCGTCTTTGGGAGGTGAGCATCTCGCCCTAGCCCCTTGTCCCTCCAGGGCAGGGAAGCTGTAGAGAAGAATAGGTTTGACTCCCAAGCATTTCACGTTAAGGTCTTTCTTTTGCCTCGTGAACATGTCTGCCCTCCCTCACAGCATTCCAGAGCTGGAAGTTTCATCATTATTGGCTTTTACCTCCTTGGCCCTTTCACTGCCAGTTTGGCCCTGCAGCTGGGTCATAAAGGCCAAGAGTGGTGGGTGAATAGGTCTCGTGTCACTGCTGGCTGTCCTAAGTGGCAACACCGACCACAGACAGCTGCAGAGAAAAGGAAGTGGCACATGGGGTGTGCTACCACAGGCCCGAAAGGGAGCAGTGACTGCACTGTCCCCCTCCACCCCCGCCCTGTGGTCTCCTGTGCTCCGTGCCACTTCCTCCTCCCCACTCCTCTGACCTGTCCCCTCGCCCACATAGACTAACGCAGCCTTGGTCAGAAGTAGCCTCACCTGGCTGGTGAGGCTCAGTGGATTGCGTTTGGCCTATGAATCAAAGGGTCGCCAGTTCAATTCCTAGTCAGGACACATGCCTGGGTTGCAGGCCAGGTCCCTGGTAGCAGGGTGCACCAGAGGCAACCACACATTGATGTTTCTTTCCTTCTCTTTCTCTCCTCTCCTCCCCTTTGTCTAAAAATAAATAAAATATTTGAAAAATACTTTTAAAAAAGTACATTTGAAAATCCAAGCTCTTTGCTATCTGTTTTCAGATCCCAGACCAGGCTCGAGTTGCTCCTTCTTCCTCAGACCCAAAGTCTAAGTTCTTCGAGCTAATTCAGGTAAGTGTGGTATCTGGCAAAAATAAAAAGAGAGGCCTACGTCTACATGTGGAAAGTATCATTGCGACCCCAGATGCCTGGCCTCCAAAGGGTTTGTGCAGGCACCACCCGGTGCCAAGGGGCCAGGCTGAGGGGCAGCCTGCAGCATGGAGTGTTGAGTTTCCCAGGAGCCCATCAGGCTGTCTAAAGACTTTTGTCCTGAGATGTGCTGTGTTCATCATTCCTGCCGCCCAAAGGATGGTGCAGACAGTCACTAGCAAGTGTAGGGTCCCGTGAGATTTGCCTGCAGGGGAGACATTAAATGTGGGGTGATCTTGGTCTGGGGAACTGAGCAGGGGGCCAAGGAGGGGCTGCCAGGAGAGCTTTGCAACGGGCTCCCTGACCTATTTCTGGTAGGTTGGTCCTTGGATTTCTTCTGCCTTGTTTCTTTCCTACCACCTGACTTCCAGCTCTTCTCTGGGTTTCATTTAAATCGGGCCCAGATCATGGGCCATTGTGCTGGTTTTGAGAATGAGTTTGAAGCCTCATGTGTCATGTGTCCATTTTTTTGAATGGGGTGGAGATATCACTTAAGTGCTCTCGTGTCAGCTGCTGGTGAGTCCTTGCCTTCAGTTTTATTGAGGGGTTGGCTTTTGTATTCTGGTGACATTTGCTTATAGCTCAGGTAAATTGATCTGTACTGGAGGCGTGGCGTTGTTTCCTTTCCCAGCCTTCCGTAATAGGTCCTAAAGGAACACTCCAGGCAGATGGAACTAGCTCCCAAGAAGTGCTTGGTTAGGGAGAGCAGGGGTGCAGGGGATGGTTCAGAGAGCAGGCGCTTCCTGTCCTTACCTCTCCCAGCCTGCCCCCACCCGTGTACAGGCACCCATACTGAGTGCCTGTCCCTTCCCCCAACCCAGCCGTGTTTTCTCTGACCCGGGGCTGCAGGGCACTGAGATTGACATCTTCAGCTATAAGCCCACGCTGCTCACCTCCAAAACCTTGGAGAAGATCCGCCCAGTGCTCGACTACCGCTGCATGGTGTCTGGCAGTGAGCAGAAGTTCCTCCTTGGCCTGGGGGTAAGTCTGCAGCTGGCTTCCTACCCAGTGATGGGTGGCGGAACCTTGCCTTTTGTCTGGGAACCTAGACAGCTGCCTGCCCGACTCAGTGCATGTTCTCTTGGCACTGAGGAATTGGGGCTTTGACCCCAAGGAGGTATTTCTTGAAACTTCCTTTTCTTCCTCTGAGTTAGCCAAGTGTTTTCATTATCTCATTTATTTATGTATTTGCTTATTCATCTCTGTGAATTGCTAAAGGGAATACTGCCTTTTTTCTTGTGATACGGAACTTCCAAGGCTAGTAGGATGGTCAGTGGGCTAATCTGGCTTGGGCCAATGTAACCATTTCTTTGCAACACCACTGGCATCCCATTTCATCACTTCCGGCAAAGCCACTACCTGTCTTCAACTCTGGGGCCCTAGGAATCTAAAATGAGCTGAAGGAAAGCCTTGACGGTTCTGTGAGTTACTTGATTGGGTCATCTCTGTGCATTGAGGGCCCTGGTGGGCCTGCTAGGTATTTTTTAGCTGCTTTTTTATTTTATTTTATTTTATTTTATTTTATTTTATTTTTATTTTTAATATATTGTACTTATTACGCCATTACAGTTGTCCCATTCCCCCCCTTCATTCCCCTCCACCCTGCACACCCCCTCCCCCACCATTCCCCCTTTAGTTTAAGTCCATGTGTCACAAGTTCTTTAGATTCTATATTTCCCATACTATTATTGCCCTCCCCCTGTCTATTTTCTACCTACCATCTATGCTACTTATTTTCTGTACTTTCTCCCCCCTTCTCCTCCTCCCACTCCCCTGTTGCTAACCCTCCATGTGATCTCCATTTCTGTGACTCTGCTCCTGATCTAGCTCTCCTCTTAGTTTGCTTTTGTTTTAGGTGTGGTTGTTAATAACTGTGAGTTTGCTGTCCTTTCACTGTTCAAATTTTTTGTCTTCTTTTTCTTAGATAAGTCCCTTTAACATTTCATATAATAAGGGCTTGGTGATGATGAACTCCTTGAACTTGATCTTATCTGAGAAGCACTTTGTCTGTCCTTCCATTCTAAATGAAAGTTTTGCTGGATAGAGCAATCTTGGTTGTAGGTCTCTGAATTTCATGACTTGGAATACTTCTTTCCAGCCCCTTCTTGCCTGTAAGGTCTCTTTTGAGAAATCAGCTGACAGTCTGATGGGAACTCCTTTGTAAATGACTGTCCCCTTATGTCTTGCTGCTTCTAAGATTCTTTCCTTCATTTTAATCTTGGGTAGTGCAATTATGATGTGCCTTGGTGTGTTCCTTCTTGGGTCCAACTTCTTTGGGATTCTCTGAGTTTCCTGGACTTCTTGGAAGTCTATTTCCTTTGCCAGATTAGGGAAATTCTCCTTTATTATTTGTTCAAATAAGTTTTCCACTGGTGGCTGTCCCTCTTCCCTTTCTGGTACCCCTATAATTCGGATGTTGGAAGGTTTAAAGATGTCCTGGAGGTTCCTTAGCCTCTCCTCCTTATTTTGAATTCTTGTTTCTTCATATTTTTCTGTTTGGTCATTTTTTTAAGATTTATTTATTTATTTATCTGTAGAGGGGAAAGGAAGGAGAGAGGGAGAGAAACATCAATGTATGGTTGCCTTTTGTGTGCCCCCTGCTGGGAAGTGGCCTGCAACCCAGGCATGTGCCCTGGCTGGGAATCGAACCTCAATTGTCTGGTTCTGAGGCCCGCACTCAATCCACTGAGCTATACCAGCCAGGGCCTGTTTGGTCATTTTTTTTCTTCCTTCTGGTCCACTCCCTTGATTTGAGTCCCAGTTTCCTTTCCATCACTATTGGTTTCCTGTGCATTTCCCTTCATTTCACTTAGTTTAGCCTTCATTAGTTCCTCTAATTTGTGACTAAAATCAACCAGTTCTGTGAACATCCTGATCACCAGTGTTTTGAACTGTGCATGTGATAAGTTGGCTATCTCTTGGTTGCTTAAAAGTATTGGCTCTGGGGTTTTGAGCTGTAATTCTTGAGCCATAATGTTTTGGTCTGTTCACGCCTGTTATGTATGAGGGGCGGAGCCTTAGGTGTTCACCAGGGTGGGGTGACCCAGTTGCTGGGTTGTGACACTGTATGTGGGGGCAGGGTCAGAGAGGGACAATGGTGTTTGTTCTGCTTTCTCTCAGATTTTGGTCCCCTCTGCTGCTTCCCGCAAGCAAACCAGGCCCCCCTGGTGCTGGTTCCCGGATGTGTGGGCCTGCGTACCCTCCAGGACCCTGTGGGTCTCTCTGTTGAACTCTCTCTGAGCCTAGGAGCCTCTCCCTGCACCTTGACCCTGAAAGTTTTTCCAATTGGTGCTTTTAGGCTTTAATTCCCCTCGCTGGGACCCTAGCTTGTGCAGTCTGTCTCACTGCTTGCTCCTTCGCCTGGTTTATCTGAGTGTGAATGTGTGACTGCAGTTAGCCAGCCACCTTGGGTACCCACTGGGTTCGCCCATTGCCACCTCTGGAATCTGCCAACCACTGCCTGTGTGCCTGGGTCGGTCTGGCCACTTTTTCCTGCCTGACCCCGCTCTGAGAGCCACTGACTCCGCCCCTCTTCCTGGCCAGGCTGAATGGTTCGTTGTTGTCGGACTTCTGTATAGTTCAATTTTCTGTGTTTGGTTGCATCTTTGTTACTAAAACTTTGTTGTCTTTAGGCTTAGTTGTGCGAGGAGGCACAATGTTTCCACCTACGCCTCCATCTTGGCCAGAGGTTGTTGATTTATTTTGTGATGAGGGATAATTGCTCTTTCTTTCCACTCTGAGTTGTCTCTCTATATAATTTTCTCTTTGCTTTCTCACTTTCCTTGTGTCTTCTCACACTTTATCCTCTGCTTTCTGGATCCTTTACCAAACCCACCTCAGTCTAAGGGGGATATGCACTAAGCTGGATCTTTCTTGAGAACCACTATTCGTGGACCTTGGCCTTTTGAATGCTGCCCTGGGTCCATGTACGTCAGGACTGAGTTGATCTCTACTTCTCTCCCGCCGAAGCTGTGGAAGATAACACTGTCTTATCGCTGAAGTATATAACAGACTGGTCTCTCCTAGACATTTTCTTCCGACATTTCCCAGCCCCATGAGCTTATAGCCACCAAATAAAAGCCATTTTAAGAATTGAGCCTCTGATCCCTCAGTCTCCATGCCTGTCTGACCCAGCCCTTCTTTCTGCCCTTAGAAGTCACAGATCTACACGTGGGATGGCCGCCAGTCAGACCGCTGGGTCAAGCTGGACCTGAAGACAGAGCTACCCCGGGACACTCTGCTCTCTGTGGAGATTGTCCATGAGCTGAAAGGGGAGGTCAGAGGTTGTTCTGCTCACGTGTCCTGCCCCTGCCAGCCAGGAACCTGGGGCATAGCTGAGTCTGGCCCTTTTCCCCCTGAGTTAACTGGGTTACATTGTATGTGGTGCTTGATAGGCCCAGGGCCAGGGTAAGGCTTGGGAATTACTCCTTGAGCAGTTGCCATGACATATTCAGGTAGGAAGGACCACAGTCTCCAAATGTGAAGGAGGAGACCTCTGTCATCTCTGTGCATCAAGGGCTCTGGTGGGCTTACTAGGTATTTTTTAGCTGCTGATTTAGTTTTTGACCAGAGATCCCTTGGGAAAGAAGCAATTTTCTCATGAGATTTGGCTGTTAACAGCCTTACGGAGGACTCTTAGAACAGTCAGTAGGAAAGTCTGGCAATAGTGGGGGGCCAGGCCCTTGGCTGGAGCACCATGACAGCAGCTTCACTGGGTTTGAGATTCAAGGAAGCTCAATACCCAGAGCCTCAGATCTCTGCCTGCTCAGAAGCCTGGTGCTGAGCTCAGCACCAGGCTGGTGCTGAGAATTCAGCAGGGAGGGGGGCAAGAGAAATAGCCCGTGTTTAGAGCCAGTCCCGTTCCCAGCTATAGGTAGAATGGTGGGCAGAGTGGTCCCAGGCCAGTCCCTGGCAAGGTGGGCAGTGTACTTGTCCTTCTAGGGGAAGGCCCAGCGAAAAATTAGTGCGATCCACATCCTTGATGTCCTCGTGCTGAATGGCAGCGACGTGCGGGAACAACACTTTAACCAGAGGTCTGACCTGGGCCCTGGGGGAGGGACATGGGGTGGGCCAGGGCACCTCTGTGGAAGCAGCCCCTGAGGCTTCGCCACTTACCCAGGCCTTCTGTGCTTAAGGACGTCCTTAGTTTTCCTTCTCCACCCATAGCTGGTTTCAAGGGCAGCGTGAGAAATTGGTGTTGGCACTTCAGACTTTGTTTAAGCCTTGTTGGTCATCGATACCAGCACAGTCCTATGTTGCTACAGTTGTTCAGATGACAGGTGATATTTGTGTTAAGGTTGAGAAAGAGGGTCACCGTATAGGGAGAAGGAGAGTCTTCTTGGAAGAACATGTCTCATGCTTGGTGGTTCCATTTAAGTTGGTTCATCTGGGCCCCACAATTCCCATAGGGGCACTTCTGTTGGAGGGTGCACGCCTAATCAGTTGTGAAAAAGGAGGGAGGGCAAAAAGGAGGGACGTCTTGTACCACCCTCCTCCAGTAATGTTGACATAGCTCCTAAGTTGGGTCATCGAAGTGAGTGTGCTGCAGTGTCTATGGTCTGGGGTGAGGGAGCAGACGCGTACAGTAGGGGTGATGCTGGAGTTCTGGAGGAGGGGCCTGAACGCAGCTGCAGGCGCACTTCGGGAGCACCATCCAAGCCATAGCAAAGTCAGAGCTCAGCATCCAGAAGTGGAGGGCGCATAGAGAAAGACACTAGTGGAAAAGGGCAGGGTAAGTCTCCTGGGGCGCACGAGCGCTGCCTCGGAGCAGTGGCCTACTTCTTGCTGCAGTCAGGAGTGTTCTCGCACGGGTGCTGTGAGAGTGCCCTGGGGCGGGCAGGGTGCTGCTGGTGGAGGCACCCTTGCTCGCGTCTGAGTGATTCTGTTTGGATTGTAGAATTCAGCTCGCTGAGAAATTCGTGAAAGCTGTTTCCAAGCCTAGTCGGCCTGACATGAATCCCATCAGGTAAACATACCATCTCCTTCCCAAATCCCTGTCCCCTTTGCTTCTTTCTGGCCAGTGTCTCCTTCCTCATCCTGTCGGGGAGACCAGGTGAGTTTGGTGATAGAGATGACTGCCCTTGATGAGTGATTTGTTTGGGGTGCTAGGTAGATGGCTTCTTCACCCCAGACTAACTCCCCATCCCGACTGTCACGGTGGGGGAACCTCCACAGGAGAGTCATTCCTAGTGGCTAAGGTGTCCTCATTTAAGACGTGCTTTTGAGAGCTCACACACCTCTGCGGGTCCCACGTTCACCCTTGGGTATCATTAGCGTGTCGCCTGACGTTTCCATTTTTTTTCTGATGAGAAAGGATCCTGAGGAGTGGGATCCCTGATGCTTGGCGGAAGGCCAGGGTGCGCTGCCGTACTAGGCTGTGTGGAAGTTCAGGGCTGAGGGAGGAGGGGGGTGAGGACAGTCAGGGAGCAGGTGGAGAGAAGACTTCTCGTGGCTGGGCTGAGGGCTGAAGCTATTACCTGAGGTTTCATAGGGCTAGAGACTGAGATGTCTATATTTTATCAAAATCATTTTTATTCTTTTTAATGTGAATTTAGTTAAAATTAAATCCAGTAATGAAAATGCATTTTATAGATGCCTTCTGAAAGTCTAAAAGCAATTTCTTCCTGTGCTTGCAAATGCCCTGTCTGCCTGGCCCTGGGAGGCAGCTCCCAGGAATTCTGCCTGTGGCCTGGTTGCTGGGTCGCTGGGGACCTTCCCAGTGGCAGTTCCCAGGGCGAGTTCAAGGGCCCCCAGAGGTGGAGGGCAGGGCATCAAACAGGAGCCCTGCATCCTGGTTAGGAGTCCCCCTGCCCCCTATGGTAACAGACCTGTTAGGACTATTTGGAAGTAACTCTGCTGCAAAAATGTCTAAAACCCACGTAGTCAGATGTGGCCAGGAGCCTGGACCTTGGTGTTCTGGCCTCCGGCAACAGTGATGACACACTGGGGTGGGATGCTGGCAGAGACGCCTGTGCCGCCAGCCCTTCCACTCGCTCCCGCCTTCCCTAACCACAGTTGCTTTCCCCAGTTCCCCTTGGTAGGCTCCAGGGGACTCTTGGCAGCTCTGACACCTCGGGTTTGTCTGTGTAGTGCAGCAGGCTGGGGGCAGAGAGCAAGGACAGGCATAGCCTCCCGCCTACCAGCTGCTGCCTGGACAAGAATGTGCCCCCAGGAAGCCCTTGTCCTCTCCCTGTCCCTCTCCCTGCAGGGTGAAGGAGGTGTACAGGCTGGAAGAAATGGAGAAGATTTTTGTCAGGTGAGTGACTCAACCAAGGCAGCTCAGGGTTTGAGCGCAGTTAAGATGGGGGCCATCAGTGTCCAGGATTCACTGTTTTTTTTCTGTAGAGGTTGTTTGGGGTGGGTGGTAAGTTGGCCCCTGCAAGCTGCCTTTACCCCCAACCTCCCTTGCCTTGTGCAGCGAGGTTCCACTGCAGCCAAGGCACCCCCCACCCTCTCCCCCGGCCGAGAGCTGATTCAGCACCCTGTCAGGAGGGAAGCAGGCTGGTGTGCGTCAGGCAGAAATACGGGCTCATTGATGCTGTAATAGTTACGATTGTCCCTGCGAGGGGCCGAGCAGTAAGCTGCACGAAACACTATAAATCCCAGCTCCTGGTGCTGACAGAGAGATTGAGCCTGGAGGGTTAGGGGGCATAACTGCCTCTTCAGATTCTTAGCCATGCGGGGGTGGCGGGGATCTGTGGGTCCGTCCTAGGCTTGCGCTGCCGCCTCTATTCTCCATGCTCTCATGTTAACTCTCCATTGGCCACGGTGATGCCATGGGTGGTGGACTGAAGACCCAGTGGTACTCAGAGGCGCTCAGGTCTTACCCTTGCCCTTACTGGTGTCACCCTGAAATACAACAATAGCAGTATTTCAGGGGCATGTTACTCCCCTGCCTCCATTACTCCGTTGGGAGTTCAGCGCCTGAGCCTGATTTCTGAAGGCAGCACTGCACGCACTCACTTGCAGTGTGGCATGGAGCATTCACTCATGTCTCTGTCTCAGTTTCTTACGTTGAACTGCTAGTACTTTGGTTGCTGTGATTTTGATAATAGCAAGGGGCTAATGTTAGGGCTTTCTCTCTCTGTCGTGCACACGCACTTCCTGTTGCACACCTACGTGGGGACATCAGGTTGGAGATGAAGATCATCAAGGGCTCCAGCGGCACACCGAGGCTCAGCTACACGGGGCGGGACGACCGGCACTTCGTGCCCACGGGCCTCTACATCGTCAGGACGGTGAATGGTGGGTGATAAGCGACTCTTCTCTGTCCTTGCCCCTCAGTCCCATTGACTGGCCCAGACCCTGCCTAAGCCAGAGCTAAGGGTTCTCTACGAATATGGGTAGCAGCCAGGCTGGCATTTCTTTGAGATGCCTGGGGCTGGGGGGACAGTTGTGTGCCGAGCCTCTTCCGTTCTTCGGCAGTTAGGTTGGGGCGGGGAAGAGAGGAGCCCAACTCGTTCATGCACATGGTGTCCTCGTGGCGGGAAGAGGATTTCTCAGCAGGCAGCGGCAGATTCAGAAAGTCAGTCTCGGACAGTGCACCCCTGTAAAAGCCTTCTTCACGGTTCCACTCTGGTTGACAGAGTTGTGCTCCGTGCTCCCTCTGCCAGGGTCCTGAGTTGTTGGCAGGATCAGGTGGGGTTGTTAATTAACAGTCATTCTTCAGGAGCCCCTTTGGGCTGGTAGTGAAATCTGCATCCTCACAGGCTGGTCTCTGCCTGCACTTTGGGGGAGGGGGGTGGAAGAATGGGAATGGAGGAAGGCACACCCCTGCTTTGTCCTGACCTATTCCCCGTGGGTTTGTGTCTTCTCTGGGCTGCTGCTCCTCTTCCTCCTGTCAGAGCCATGGACTATGAGAATCAGCAAAAGCTTTAAGAGGAAGTTCTTCTACAACAAGAAAACTGGGACCTCTACCTATGAGCTCCCTCCAGACTCCATTGCCCCATTTCAGTAAGTAGCCCTCCTCCAGGCCTGCCTGTGCAGGGGCTCCCCTGAGCAAGGGCCTGGGTCCTCCCCACAAGGGTGCAGAGGGCAGTCCCCTCCAGGGTGTGGCTGGACCTGGGTAGTAAGCAAGTTCAGTTAAGAGGAGTGACGCCAGGACCTGCTGTGACAGTTGGGAGTCCTGGGTGGGAAGGGCCCCACTTAGGCAGGGCATTGGCCCCACGGAGCAGCTTATGTACAGCTGGCCTGGTGATGGGAGCGTGGCTGAGTACCACAGCGCTGCCCCTTGAAACCGAGGGTCCTAGGTGTCCCTTCTCAAGGCCCAGGGTCCATTTGCCAGATTGTTGGTCACAGGTTTCAACAGCTACCAGTAGCCCTAATGTGCCCAAGATGAGCCATTGACAATAATTCCTGTCACCACACGAATACTATTTATTAGACCAGCACAGACAGGTGAACCAGGAGTATCAGTAATTGTGAAAACCCAGCTGGGTGCAGTCAGTAAGTGGCAGCTGTTGGGAAAAGCTGGTTTGAGGAGGTGAGGAGCTGGAACCTTCTGGGGTTTTGGCTGCCAGAGGAAAGATCCCCCCAATCCCAACTCCTGCCCCCTCCTGGCCACACAGCAGGAGGTGAGGGGCGGGCGGGGCAAGCTAGCAAAGCTTCGCTGGCATTACAGCCTGAGCTCCATACCTGTCTGGCCCCTGCCCTGGCTCTGGCAAAATTCTCTCACAAAACCAGTCCCTGGTGCCAGAAAGGTTGGGGACCATTGCCCTAAGCCAGCTCTCTGACCTCCTTTCTCCTTCTTAGCATCTGCTACTATGGCCGGCTCTTTTGGGAGTGGGGCGATGGCATCCGTGTGCATGACTCCCAGAAGCCCCAGGACCCAGACAAGCTGTCCAAGGAAGATGTCCTCTCCTTCATCCAGATGCACAGCGCCTGAGGGCCCAGGGACGCCCACCCCTGCGGAATGCCCTGTTGTGTGGAGTCAGCGTGCTCTGCCTGGGGCACACAGTCACTGCAGCCTGGCCATGAGTGGGTGGTCTCCTCTCCGTCTCCCCTGAAGAGTTCAGTCGGGGGCCTTCTGAGGACACTCACAGGTTCCTTCTTGGACACCTTTTAGACTTCCCTCCCCAGAGACCTGCCTGGGAACCGTCTCCCATGCCAGGACTCAGCCTGAAAGATGCTGCTCCTGTGGCGGGTTTGTGGTCAGGGCCCAGGGTACGTGGGGCTGGTGAGGGACTTGTTGGAGAGCCCAGGGCCTTAGCTCTGCTGTTTTCTCCTGTATCCTGTAGACTCACTTTTCTGAGTTCCATGCACTGCCCTGAGGGCAGCCATTGCCCAGCTTTGCCCAACTTTTTACTGGGCCAACGCTGAGTGGGTGAAGGCCCACTGTCGCGAGCTGGCCAGGAGCAGCTGCTGTACAAATCAAGGTTTTGTTTCTTTGAACTTGCTCTGTTTTGATGCCAAGTTGGAGATTTTCTTGTCTCGTCCCACACCGTCTTGGTCTTTCCTGGAATTCTTCGCAGCCTAGACCTCTGACAGTCCCGCAGGCCGGGAAGGGAGGTATGAGGGCCCCACGCCCCTGATACCACATCAGGATGCAGGTAGCACCCCCTTTGGTAGTGTGACTGCTTCCTTGGGTGATAGAGCCTTCCCGGGCCCTGTCCCCTTTGGACCCGAACCATGGACAGCTGTGGAAGGGGAGGATCCTCAAAGCCCTGCCTTTCTCTGTGGCCTCACCTTAACAGGTGTGTGTGGGGGTGCACCCCACCCTCTGGCAATTGTGACACCCTAATTTGCCACAGCCACCTTGTACCCTTCCCCCTCTTTATTCCCCAGTAAGGGGGTACAGTCACTCTGTCATTTTATGGTCACTATTTTCTCTGTGGTGGTGGAGGGGGAAGAGGGGAAGCTAGGCAGTAGCTTTGGGTGGGGAGGGTACCTGTCAGATGTTTGCACAGGCTCCCTAGGGCCCCATCCCAGTGCTAGATTGGTTTCCATGGAGATAGGGCACTGAGGCTTCCTGTGAGGTTGCAATTGGCTCCACCTGGGTGGGGCGGGTCTCCAGCCAGTATCCAGTCCCCCTTCCCCCACTGGGTTGGCAGAGCACTGCTAAACTGCTGTCTTTCCACCCAGTTCTAGGTATAACAGTGTGTCTTGCAAAATCTTGGATCATTAAAGATAAACATATTTTTAATTGCCTGTGTGGCTCTGTGCTGGGGCTGCTGCTGATTGTCCTTGGTACTTTGTGGTCTGGGACTGGCTGGGATAAAACAGCTTGGGCTGAAGGTGAAGGGGAGAAAGCTGTGCTGGAAGAAGAGAGGGTTTGTTTAATCAGGGCCTTGTCCAAACGCAGGGCTCCCAGAGCTGCTGCTTGCTGCCAGAAAGGGGCCCAAGGAAGTGAGGAAATGATGCAGCTCCTGTTAGCAGGGACTGGAGGATGAATGGACCCACAGCCCAGCAGGGTGCAGACACTTTCCCCCTTACAATAATCACACAGCTCTGGTGGCACTGTGACAATCCAGGATCAGTCTGTGTGACTAAAATATCACAGGTGTCAGACCAATTAGTGCCACTAGACCAGAGGGAGGGAGAGATGGTTTCGCTGACCCATAGCCAGCATCCCTCCTTCCTTCTGCACTGGGTGCTGTGCTTGGGGCAGGGGACATGCAGGTGCTGGCAGCACCTCCCAGTCCATTCCAGTCCAGTCTCTTCACCAGTTCCATCACCAGTGCTGGTTTCTTCCTAGAGCCTGCCTGCATTTTGCTTGGCTCCTTCACCCTGGCCTCAAGGGTCCTTCCCCAAGCTCCCAGGACAACAACTTTCCTTCTTTACTTACTTGGGGAGATCTCAGCTCCTAGGCCTTTCACCTTTTTGGCTGCCCTGCACTGCTCTGCTTGCTCTAGCCTCCCACTCCAGACTCCTGGCCCTGGGCTGGGAGTAGGATTAGGGATGTGCTCAGGGGCTATATGAGATGTCTGTGTTTGCGCCTCCGGCCTCCCCCTCCAGTGGGCCCCGCCTCTACTGCTGCTTTCCCGCAAACCCCACCTGATTTACTGGCCACTGTCATTATAAGTCTGTCTGGTCATTACCGTGGCTCTTGTTGCCCACTCACTCCACCAGGCCTCACCAGCTTGCCTGCCTCTTGAAGATGGATTAACTCCTTGCCTCCACAGGACTGCCACACGACCACTTCAAGTCCCCAAGTTGCCTTTTGCAGCATAGGCTACATTTTTTCTGCCATAACTACAGGCAGTGGCACTGATTAGAGAGCAAGGCACCGTGTTTGGGGGGGTGAAGGGGTGGACACACGGCACATTTCCCAAGCCCTGGAAGTGGCTCCCAGTGTAGTTCTGGCTTGGAGAGCACTTCCTCCTTATCCCCCACTTAAGCCAGGGGCTCACCTTTGCAGCCTTCCTTCTTTCTGATTTCTAAGCCAAGAGCTTTCCCTTAACATCTCTTCCTTGATTCCTGAGTGTGCAATCCCTCCTCCCCCTCCCCAGCTATAGTGGGACCAGGACACTGACTCAGCAGACAGGCGCAGCCCTGGTGTTCTTTATTGCCTCTCCCGTGGGCTAAGGGAGGGGCCAGCACGCAGTCCTGGAGACCCAGGCCCCAAGGCAGGGCAGGGCAGGGCAGCAGGAGGGACTGAGCCAACGGGAAGCCCTGCTCCAGTGTCCGGGTGGAGCAGAAACGTCCCTGTACCTTGGTCCTCTTGAGGCCTGAAGGGCCTGCTTGGTTGCAACCAGGCTACAAACTGGAGAAATCTTGGGCTCACATGGTCCAGCAGGCATAGATGAGGCTCAGGAGGACAAAGATGGCCACAGAGAGCAGCATGTTCTTCCGGTTCTCCTGCCGAAGCAACTTCAGCTCCTTTTCTGGGAGGATACAGAGTGTTAGGCAGGTGGTTTGGGCCCATCTGCTACTGTCATCTGCTCTCCCACAGATGGACGCACACACTGCTACGGGCAGAGGTGTTCCCTACCAGCCGCTTCCTTATCTGTAAAAATGACTCCCCCTTGCCCACAAAAGTCCTAGCACTCAGTGCTGCTCAAATGCAGCTGAGGCTGAGAATGGAATGTGTGAGGGGGTCACCAAAGAGGCCACTCGTGAAAGCCAAGCTATGTGGTGGCATTGCGTCACCAGGTGAGTCCTTGGCTTGTCACTGGGTGGGCTCTGTGGTGCTCACCCCTTCAGGGTGTCTCAACTAGACACCGAGGGCACCTGGGACCGCCTGCGTGCTGACGCTGGGGTAGGTACAGGGGAACTGCACCACCACTGCTCCCAGTCCGCTGGGTGCCCGGCCAGCGAAGTGGGGGAGCTGTGATGAGGCAGTTTGTGCTGCGAGTAGTCGGGCTCTCCTCCAGAGGAAGCCAGTCCGACTCTGCAGCCCTGCAGTCTCTATTCATCTCCCTGTGTGACATGCAGGTGTGTGACAATTGCTAGGCTGGAGGGGTAACTGATGTCCCACTTCTACCTGTGTGAGGGAGCAGGGAGAGATCTGCAGACCAGATGGAGCCCAGGTAGGGCTGTGGGTGTGCACATGGACTGTGCTTAGTGTTTTTCAAAATGGCTCCCCGGAAGGTTCCCTGCCATGTGGACTGTTCTAGGCTGGTTCTTGGCAACATATGGCCCCTGAGAATAGAACAGACAAGTCAAGGAGCTTCTGTGGACCATCTTTCCTCCAGGCCGGCAGGGGCGGAGCAGCGGAAGGGGTGGTAGTGGGCCTAGCAGCTGCCCTCCAGGCCCTGCCTAGGCTCTGCCTGGCTCTGCCCCCAGCACCCAGGAGGTGGCAGCATTGCTCCACCCCAGCAGCCCTTCACAGCCGCTAAGTGGGAGGTTCACTCTCCTTCACCAAGGCCCTCATTCGCACCACAAGGTTTTCCTCAGGGTGGAGTGGAGGTCTGGGAAGAGTGGGCAGGGAAAACAGACCTCCCAAGTCTGAGTGGATGTGAGAACCTTTTCTGGACCTGGCTACCATCGTACCCCTTCATTCCAGGAAGACAGACCCGCAGGCCACTCTAGCTCCCTAGGAACAAAGGAACAAACTGCTCTTCCAGGCTGCGGGGCCTGTGGTGGGTTCCTGCAGCCTCCTGGACCCCTGTCACCTAGTGGGCTGGCTCTCTGGGCTGCCTGCCCCTCTGGACCCTGGGACTGGAGGGTGGGGCTGCCAACAGAAGGGAACTTTCTTACCATAGTCGGAGGCTTTGTTCATCAAGCTGTTTTTCTCCTTCTCCAGAGACTTCCTGTGAGGGGGAAGGAGTTTTATGGCTCCAGCCCTTTTCCTTCTTCCCATCAGAGGGACAGTTGGCATACCAGGGCAGGTTGGACAAGGGCCCAGGACTCTGGTGGCAGTTGGAGGAGGGACTAGAAGCTCAGGGCCTAGGTTAGACAGGAAGGGCTGAAGGAGGGTGGGGCACAGGGCATGGACAGGAGCATTACCTGGTGTCTGGGCTCAGCTCTGCCCCACAGAGCCTGGAGTTCACAGCCTCCAGGTCCCTCTGACATTGTGACAGCTTCTCCTCCAGCCCATCGATCTGAAACATACAGCACACCAGCAGTGAGAGGTGGGCAGCAGAGCCTTTCAACTTTCAAAATAGGACTTTGGGGAGGGGAGGAGGAAGCCTCTAGGAGTCTTCCAGCACAGCCCCCCGCCCCACCATTCCTAACATTTCTGGTTTGCCGTCCTCTACCTCCACGTGGTACAGCCTGAGCCCCACTGCAGACAGGTGGGGGTGTTGCTCAGGGTCTCACAGCTGTGCTGACCCCATGGGCCACGTCGTGGGTTGGGGACAGATAGGGAGAGGCCCTTAGTCACTGTCTCTCTGGCACAGGCCCCAGTGGGCCCCACAACAGGACTAACCAGAGCTCTGAGCACGGCGGACGCCTGCCGCACGGGCGTGTCCTGGAGGGAAGTGAGACGCCGTGGGAAGGCTCTGCCCTTCTGACGCACCCCCATGGGCGGGATGGGCCAACACACATCCAGGGGCAAAGTGCAGGTGTTTTTTCCACTGATCACACTTCATCTCTAAGTAATCTCAGCTGTGAGACAATATATCTTTCCATGAGAGTCACCAGAAACCACTGTAAAAACATGCAAAACACTTCCATTTCTTTCTGACCAGGTTCTTGAGCAAAAACACTGCTCATCATCAAGGTGGCTGTAACTTGTGAGCAAAATAATGTCTGAAAGGTTGGCTGCCAAAGGTATCAGTTTTCCTATTTGATTTTAATTTCAGAGATGTGCACTTGATAAAATAATGAGTTGTGAGAAAATGTACATAAAACACTGGACTGGATCATCCAAACCTGGGTCCTGGTGTCATATTTGGCCTTGAAAGTTCATTTGTGTCCATCTGTCCCCAGGCATCTATCTACCTGGCCACCATGCTGGGCCTGGGTCTGCTTTTCTCAAACCACCGCCCTGCTGGCAGGAGCCTAGATCTTGGTGGGCAGGAAGGCCCACAGGGCCCTGAAATGCTCAATTTTCCATCTGACTTAACTCATTCTCACCACGTCCCTGGGAGGGATAGCAAATATGACCTCTATTTCATAAACGGAAGAAAAGGTCCCCCAAACAGAATCACTTCTCTGAGCAGTCAAAGTGGAACACCCCTCTCTCCTTATCGCTCTCAGCCAGTTCCCTGCTCCAGTCCCTTCCAGAGTGACCCCTGAAGAGACGGTAATCAATGGTCGCAAGTACGAATCCCAGAGTCCCGGGCAGGTGTTCTGGGGCCAGTGTGTCAGCCTCTAGGCCATCTGCCCCTCTCCCTGGTCAGCACCTATCCCGGGGCAGCCTCTTTCCCTCATCCCAGTGCCCGGCACAGATGATGCCCCATCTACCCCCTTCCCTGCAGCCCAGCATGCTGCCAGCTCTACCTCCAGAAGCAGGGCCCTGTGGGAGAGAGTAACTGCACATGGTTAACTGCCTGGTTATTTGTGTCATTTCTGTGCAAATGGGCACCAAAGGAAACAGCCCCAGCCAGGAGATGGGGCCTGTGCCTGAGGTCAAAGGCCACCCTAGAACAGGAGCCGTAGGGAAATGAGCTCCAGGGAGCCAGATTCTGAGAACAACTGTAGCCTGCTGCAATGGCTAGTGGAGCCAGGGAGCCAGAGCTGAGAGCAGCAGGTGCTTCAGGCTGCCGTGCGGCCCACCCTTCACAGCAGCATCCCCAACACAGAGCCCAGCCCCTCAGAACCCCAAGACTCTGTTTCCATTTCATGGTGTAGAAAGTCCCACCGAGGCACCAAATTCCATGCTGCATCCCAAGCAAAGCTTAATTCTTGAAGCCGCTCTACCTCCTCTATAGACCTCTCTACCAGAGGGGTACTGCCTCCCGCCCACAGCAAATCAGTCTGTCCTTGTCTCATGAGGCTGATGTCATTCCTTCATTCCAGCCTGTGCATCCAAACTCATCTTCCCAAACTCTGGGAGCCCCGTGGGCAGATGGGGTAAACTTGCAGCCTAGGGGTTCAACTCTAGCCCAGATTGGGCCACTCTAGTCATGTATGTGCCTTCCTGGCCCCTAGGGATGCCTGACCTTGTAGCTCCCGTCCGAGAGAGCATGTCAGCTATTTGTTTCCTCTTTGTGGCCGTAAGGCCCAGCCCACTGCAGTCTTTGTAGCCATGGCTGGGGCTGAGGAGATGGAGACAGGTTTAGGCCTCATGTGACAGTGGCCTCTGAAACCCTCTACTTGTGCCCACAAAAGCTGGAAGGAGGAAGGGAAGCAACTACACAAGCACACAGACATGGATTTGTGGGTTGCCCAGTGTGAGTATTAGTCCCAGGTGAGGTTCCTCCCTGCCACCCTTGGGCCAGGCCCTGGCTTACATGTCATTCTGGGAAGAAAAAAGGCTGGGGATTTCCATCCCTAAACACCTCTAGGAGGCCACCAGGTACCCAAACAAGCACTAACTCGCCGGGAGCAAGACCAGGAATTCATGCTAGGCAAAACCTTTAAATCGAGGTTGGCAAACCACAAGTAGCCAAGCCAACCAGTGGCTGTGCTCTGGGCAGGGCCCAAGGAGCTGGCAGCCACAGCCTCTCTCTGAACAAGCCCCATTTACCTGTAGTTCCACTGAATAGCCCCCCACTTTCCTTTACCACTTTTTAATGAGGCTCAAACAAACACAAATCAAGGTCTTAGGGACTCAAGTTCTAGCCTTCCTACATGAACATTTATGTCCTGCAGACAGCTCTGATACCCTTCTAAACACCAAGTTCCCCTTCCTAATAACCCAGCTGCTTGAGGTGGGCTGTGTGAGGGGAGCTGAGACTGTTCGGCGGCTGGCTGGCCCTTCAGAAGGCCAGAAACCTGCCTCAGGAGACCATGCCAGCAAACACCCTGAAGCATATGCTGAAGCAGAAGCGGACTCCAGAGCAGCTAGCTATCACAGTGCACTGATTCTAGGTGACCTCCTGGCTGCAGGAAAGGCAGGGTAGAGGGTCAGGATTCGTCTCTTAGTTGTGACTGGATCAGGAGTGGTCAAGAGAGCAGAGCTGACAAGATAGGCCCAGAAATGAGGGAAAAGACCCAGAAAGTGGGCCTTAAAGGAAGCCTCTCATTGGGTTTTCGGTCAACTCTCAACAACATGCAGGTGGACTATTCACTTCGCTGAATCCCCAGTGTAAATCCGGAATCCTTAGTTTACTCCCTGCCAGCAGGCTGAAGGCAAATGAGAACACGACAGTCAGGACCAGGAGAGGAGACAAGGGAATTCAGACCAGAATAAGGAAACAAATGTCAAGAAAATTCTAGAAACCTAAGGGTCAGAACTGAGGAAATGGTTGGAAGCCTAAGTACCTAGAAGCCTGAAATTGTGGCTCCCAAAAAGTGCGGTCGCACGGAGCGGGGGTGGCAATCACATCCTCAGCTTGTTGCTCACTTGCCATGCCCCTTAATCCCGTGTCTCAGTGTCTTCGTGTGTAAAGCAGAGATAATGTTTGGTACTTCAAAGACCTGTGAGGGGGATGTGACCAATACACATAAGGTGCTTGAAGAGTATCCAGCACACAGGGTAGTCCAGTGTGTGAGTGCTGCCATTATCATCAGAGAACAGCTTTCATTGGTCCTTTGGGGAATAAAATGAAAAAAGTTCATTTGTAGCGAGAGTAAGAGAAGGAGCTAGAAGTGGAGTTGTGTGATGGACAGAAATCCCCCTGGTCACCGGTAGCCATCCTCTGAGTCGGGATGGGTTCAGCAGGGGTGGGGGCCTGCAGGGTAGACCATCAGAGCAGCATTCGGCTGGCTCGGGACATGGCATGCTAGGAACCTCGTAAGTGCCTGTGGATGAAGCTGGCCTGGGGCTCAGGAGACAGCACCAAGTTCTGGAGGCGGGGCTGGTGCAACCCGAGGATAACAAGCCTAGAGCAGTGTGGAAGGGCAGAACAGACTCAGGTGTGATCTGGGCACTCTAGAGAGACACGGACGGCAGGTGGAGCCCAGATTCAGCCACACCGTGGCTCTATGGGGCCGGGCGTGCAGCTAAGCTGGAAGCAGGAATGCAAAGCCCCAGGATTAAAGTAGAAAGAGGCCCCAGCAAAGAGATCCAGACAACACCAGTGGGGAGAGTTACACTCTGGAGGCCACGGGGGTCCCAGGACTCCTGCCCAACCAGCTGGAGAGCAGGTCAATTAGCAGGACGAGCATGCCACGCCCAAGATTGGCTCCGGTGCTGAGATTTTCCTGGAGCTATAGGCAGGTAGCAATGCTAGCTGTGACTCACGGGTCACGTGGTTATGGCCAAAGTGAGGACTGAGACAGGGAACTCATTCAGACAGTGCGGGGGTAGAGAGTAGATGCCCCGATGTGCAATGGCATTAACAAGTGTTCATACATTGCATTTATATTCAGAAGACCAAGAGCCTGTTTTTATACAGGGAAAATGAACACTTAAGGCACTGAGATGACAGCAGGTGCAGCACAGCTGGCAAAGGAACCCAAGGGGTCAAGAAGGCAGTGATGTGTGGTGTGAGCTCCCTGCAGGTTAGTACCCTGTGCCTTCTTCCACCTCACAGAGTTGAGGACCTGGTAGGTGTCATGCGAACCTGTGTGCAAGCAATTCAAAGAACCAAGAAGTAGGTGGTGAGTGTGCAGGGGGTCCCTGTGGGTAAGTCAGATTTGACCCCAAGCCCAGCAGTGGCTAAAACCTGGCCTGAGCCTAGACAGGGAAGACACAGAACCATGACAGGATGAGAAAGACGGGAAAGAGAAGTCCATACGGTAGGGAGTGGGAAGGAGCATCCCTCAAGTGGGAGGGAGCTGAAGGTCCCAGGGAGGCCTGGAGCAGGAGCCAGGATGTCTATACTATAACAGGAACAGCTCGCAAGTGGTTCCACCACCAAACACTGCCTCTCTTATCCAAGCATGGACTGGGGAATCAGTGCTTGAAGGGCAGCTTCAGGAGTGAGCAGAGGAACTGGTGCAGTGAGAAGTGTAATACCAAGGATTCTCCACAGAAGCAGGGACGTTCCCTGCAAAAGAATGTCAAGATCTGAAGTCAGCCTGACAGTCAAGATCAGCATGGGTTGCAACC